CTGGTCCAGGATATCTAAAATAAAGCTCAAGGACGCCAGAAACAAGACTATAAATTTTATTTTTTAGTCAACCAGGAAGTTTCGAGGAAGCTTCCTAAAGCTGCTTTCAGTTAATTCTTTGCCATGTTTTCTGGTCTCTTTGAAAGATCCCACGGTCTACAACGATATTCTTATTCCACTTTTCTACGGCAACCCGAAAGGTTTCACCCACTTGCACCAAATAATCTCTCTCAAATAGAAACTTTTATTTGGTCCGGTCACGTGACGTAGCTCTATGTTCGGACATCAGTAAAATAGTACAACGTGTTCTCACTATTTACCGCGCAGCCCGACCCGAAACGTAGACGGGATTGCTATGTTCGTGTGTTGTTAGGTATTGCTTAATATTTGCTCGGTATTGGTCGATTTTGCTCGACAATAACGATAAATATCATTCTGTGAAGACTAATACCGAGCAATACCAGTATTTCTCGGTATTAGCCTTCACAAAGCGATATTTTTCATTATTGTCAAGCAATACCGAGCAAAACGCGAACATATCAATCCCGGGTCAACTCGTCGGGCCGCGCGGTATTGAGTAGTACCACGTGGCGACATGTTATTGGCATTCGAACGTAGAGCTACGCACCTGATCTAATAATTGTTCGAAGAGAGATTATTACGTGCTGAGTCCGAACATTAAAAAATTGTTCAATTTTATGACTTTAAATTGCAAAAGCATCGTTATTGCTCTCGTTTTTATATTTAACCTTTATATTTTAATGTTCATAATTACAATTAAATTACTCTTTATATCTGGACTTCACACTTAATAATCTCTCATAAATCCATTATGAGGGAAAAAATATGCAAAGAAGTCGTAAACTTGTAATCAGTACTCACCAAAATTTTCTTTTATAACAGATTTTTATTTTCAATCGAACGTATAAATGGCTTTAAAAAAGCGATAAACTGATTAAATAAGAGTGAAATAAAAATTATAGGGAAATTCGACTTTATAGGAATCATAATTAGGCATACAATAATTTGTATTCAGCTCAATTAATATTCATTTATATTAATTATTAAATAAATATGAATGTTTTATAAATATTTTCACTGATAATTTATTTGTTGCTCAATAAGTACCATTTTAAATACTTGAAATGAGGTTCGTTGTGATTGGTATAATATTCAATTAAACTTTTTAAATTTTAAATTAATTATTTAGTTATTTAATATTAATATATTATATGTTTATTTATTGGGCTAAGCTATTTTTTTACTCCAGAGTTTTGTTGCACAAAGCTATGAGTGTAAAATTAAAATTGGGATTATCTGAACTCCCGTTTCAGCAAACTTACACTCGAATCAAACGTCTCAAGAATACGAACCCAACGACACTAAATTCGACTCAATCCGAGACCAAATGGGTCCAAAACAAGGACACGAAGCACCGTTGGAAGGTTCAAGTTACAATTTGGATATCATACATGACATGCTTATAGTTGAATCGAGCGGCTTGACGAGACGAATCCAACGAGCCCAAGATCACAGAATTCTGACATCATTAAGACCTTCAAATGTCTAGCGAACGGTCCACGATCAAGGGATTCAACATTGATCGTCCATCCAAACCACTCCCTATTTACCATTGATCTTCCTCCTATTTTACCAATAATGCTACTCTAGAAAATATATAAATAGACCCTCTCATTCCTCTTAAAGGGGGCCCCAAGCAAGAGAGCAAGAGAGAGATCAGAGAACACTCTTGCCTCCTCGCTCCTCCTCAACCACCTGGTGCCCGGAGTTTTCCCGGGCCACTACCTGATGACAGTGATCCGCTGGACCACCACATGACGCCCGGAGTTTCACCAAGCCACCACCTAATTTTCGGAGTTCCACCAGGGCACCACCTGCTCCTATTTATGGGTCATGCTACTCTAGAAAATTTATAAATAGACTCATCTTTTCTCTTAAAGGGGGGGCTCCAAGCAAGAGAGCAACAGAGAGATCGGAGAACGCTCTTACCTCCTCTCTCCTCCTCGACCACCTGACGACCGGAGTTCCGCCGGGCCACCACATGACGACAGTGTTCCGCCGGACCACCACCTGACGCCTAGAGTTCCACCAGGCCACCACCTGATGCTGGAGTTCCACCGGGCCACCACCCGACATCAGTGTTACGCCGGACCACCACCTAACACTTGAACTTCCACCGGGCCGCCACTTGATGCCCGGGGTTTCGCCGGACCACCACCTAATGCCCGAAGTTCTGCCAGACCACCACCTGATGCTCAGGTTTCCCCGGGCCACCATCTGACGCCGGTGTTCCACCGGGCCAACACTTGATGCACAGAGTTCTGTCATATCACCACCTAACGTTTGAACTCTAGCCGGACCGCCACCTACCGTCTGAACTACCACCGAACCACCGACTTACGACAACGATCTTTCTTACCCATGTATTATGCCTACTACGGTCCTACTAACCTTCGTCGCATACTATGGTCCTTCTAATCTCCACCACCATACAACGATATTTTTAACCTTGTCTCATGCTGACTATGATCATTTCGAGCTCCGTCGCCTACTACTGTACTTCCGACCTCCACCACCAGATAACGGTCTTTCTAATCACCCCTGTCTTCTGTCAACTATGGTCCTTCTAACCCCATCGCCTACTACGGTCCTTCTAACCTCCAACGCTAGACAACAGTCTTTGTGACCCCTGTCTTCTGCCGACTACGGTCCTTCGACCTCCATAGCCAAAAAATGGTCTTTCTGGCCCTTGCCTATTGTCGACTACGGTCCTTCCGACCTCGTCGCCTACTACGGTCATTCTTACCTCCGTCGCCTGCCGACTAAACAAACACATCAATTCTTATTCCTCCAATTTCTACCATGTAATGTATTCTATGTGATGTATATATGTTATATCAAGCCAAGGTCTTCCCTTCAATGAAGGGCCTCATTTGTAATCGATTGCAAATAATAGTGGATTCATTCAAACTGAGCCAGATCCCATGATTTTTTCCCCTTTACAGGGGTTTGCATGTAAAATATTTGGCGTCCCTTATAAATGCTACATCCTATCTTTTATCTGCTTGTGTGTTGGATCTTCGTACAAAACTAAGACGTTATATTTTATATTTCTCAACCGCCGCGAATATTTCAGGATGCAACAAACACTAACACATTTTCATTTCTATTCATGAACATTCTTATTTGTTGTTTAACAAATAGCTAGTTAAAACATGATAAAATGCATATTTAATGATAATTTATTTTTTTATATGATGGCTTAATTTATGTTATTGTATAAATTTTTTTATAATTTATATGACTTAAAAGTTATATATATTATTAGATGTATATCTATGATGAAAATATCAAATAAATAGCTCTATAAATAGATTTAAACTTTTTTTTTATTAATATTTAACTTCATCAAATAGATGATGCCAATTTTTTTTAAGATCTATAAATCAAATTATGCGAGGAAGTTAGGCTATAAACTTGATACGTCACCAAAAATAACTTTGATCATCTGAATGTATAATTGAATTGGAAACTTTCAAAATTAAAATTGGGACCATCCAAAATCTAATTTTAGCAAACTTATAGTCAATTGAACGTTTTGATGAGATGAAAAGAACAATACCAATTTCAATCCAATCCAAGCCCAAATGAGCCTAAATCAAGGGATCAATGCATATTTGGAACAAAAGCATTAATTGAATAACCAAATTTAAAAGAATTAATTAAATAACCAAATAATCTTAAAAATGACATGCTCATAGTTGAATCAAGCAGCTTGATGAGACAAATCCAATGAGCCCAAAATCACATAATTCTAACATCTTTAAGGCACTTAAATGTTTGACGAACACTTTATGATCAAGAGAGTTAATACGGGTCGTCTGATGGAGCACTCCGAATTTGCTATAGATATTTTCCATGTTTAAGGAACAAGACACCCCCAAAAATCTATCAATAGATTCACATTTTTCACATGAGGGGAAGAAAAAGAGAGAAAACTAGATAATGCTTTCTTGCATTTTCAGTCATTGCCGCCGATGACCACCGCTAGATATTGTCGCCGATAGTCACTATCTCCATAATATTGATAATATTTAATTTTGTTGTTGGGTATAACTTTTCATGTGTGGACATCTATTTTCTATAATCATTGTTGAGGAAATCAAGCATTTCTATTTGATACATTAGAATTCAGGACCTTATAACTTCATGCGCTAGCACATCAAAAAATAGACCCCAATGACTCTCAATGCTTATCAAATTAGATATTCAAAAATTTAGGCCCTTATTACTCCCTAGGCATTTTACACTACAGAATTTCCTCCAACATCAGAGTTTTACATAATCACATATTTCAACCAAATAAATATACATATCATTATATTATAGTAAAATAAATATAAATATATCCCTAAAAAAATGCACAAAATACTTTATCGGTAGACAACATATTCAACTATGGAGTAGAATTTTATAGTTTCAAAATTTTAACAAATTATTAGAAATTGTTCAGAACATTATTTTAAAGTTTTAATTTTATTACAACATTATTTTTGAATCAAAACACTTTTGATTTTGATGGTTGCATCTCGTTTAGGGATTCAATTCAAGCATAAGTTTGCTAAAATCGGATATGGCTTTCTAATGTAGAACTAAAATATCTATTGAGATTTCTATCCGATCAAGCCAACTTTTCATTAACTATCACCAATAAATTATAAAAAATAAATATATAAAATCATTTTTTAGTTATTAATTATTATAGTTTGCTCTAATTTTATTTTGATCGCAACAAATTTATTGATCACATATTAATACGTAGAATTAATAATCTAAATGATATAATTAATGAAAATAAAATGACTAATCGTTTTAAGCCGAAATCTGTTAAATTGCGTTGACTAAAAAAGAAGTTCAATAAGAAAACTAATCATCAGTAATACTAATAATTTTAAGATAGTTCATATTTATTAATGCTTGCTTAGCAAGTCACGAGACCACAAGGCGCAGACGAGAGTGGGGTGGCGCTTTCCTCTTTAAATGGACCGCGGCGTCTCCCCTACGCCCATGACTCCGACGACGCAGCGGCGAAGGCCGATTAAAGTAGCCGAGAAAAATAGTTCACGTTTCGTTCACTTCACGTAAGAGCCGACACAGTTCGCCATTTTATTCTTCTTCCAATTCACTGGCTCGTCTCTCTCTTATTTTTAGCTTTTGAACGCGGATCCATTGCTAATTATGCACTTGTTTGGCATTCCTTTTAGTCAGGATTGATCGATAAAGGTTCTTGGATCGATCAATTACGCAGCTGCTCTTCAATAGTACGTAGACTTGAAACCATTTCAATTGCTCAAGGTGTTTAGTTTTATGATGGGAAAAGGAGGACAGGACGTTAGATTTGATGCCATTGTGGATCCGATTTCATCTGCTTTCCCTGCTTGGGCCCGGAATATCAAGGAGTGCGAGTTCGAGTTCAATGTGTCCTCCGATCGCGGTCTCCGATCCGACGAGGTACAGCGGCGGCGCGAGGTGTATGGATGGAACGAGCTTGACAAGCATTCCGGCCCCTCGGTCTGGGTGCTGGTCCTCGAGCAGTTCAACGACACTCTCGTCCGGGTCCTGCTTGTCGCCGCTGTTGTCTCCTTCGTCCTTGCTTGGTTTAATGGGGAAGAGAGCGAGGAGACTGGTATAACAGCCTTCGTGGAGCCCCTTGTGATCTTTCTCATCCTTATTGTGAACGCCGTCGTCGGGGTTTGGCAAGAGAGCAATGCCGAGAAGGCTCTTGAGGCCCTCAAAGAAATCCAATCGGACCACGCTGCTGTAAAGAGGGATGGAGTTTTGCGGCCTAATTTTCCGGCAAAAGTGCTTGTACCTGGAGATATCGTGGAGCTAAGGGTCGGGGATAAGATTCCTGCCGATATGAGAATTCTTTTTCTGATAAGCTCGACTCTGAGGGTAGAACAGGGGTCTCTTACTGGAGAGAGCGTTGCTGTGAATAAAACGAACCACAAGGTTGACTCGGACGACAGCGACATCCAGGGTAAAGAGTGCATGGTCTTTGCAGGTACCACTGTTGTTAATGGGAGCTGCGTTTGTTTGGTAACCCAGACGGGTATGAACACTGAGATAGGAAAAATACATGCTCAGATTAATGAAGCTTCCAAGAGTGATGATGATACTCCATTGAAGAAGAAACTGAATGAGTTTGGCGAGGTCCTCACTGCTATTATTGGTTTGATCTGTGCTCTGGTTTGGCTCATCAATGTGAAGTATTTTCTGAACTGGGAGTATGTTGATGGGTGGCCTACTAACTTCAAGTTCTCTTTTGAGAAGTGCACTTATTACTTTGAGATAGCCGTGGCTTTAGCTGTGGCTGCCATACCAGAAGGATTACCAGCGGTGATCACTACATGCTTGGCTTTGGGCACCAGAAAGATGGCACAGAAGAATGCACTTGTTCGGAAACTTCCTAGTGTTGAGACTTTGGGATGCACGACGGTAATTTGCTCAGATAAAACTGGTACCTTAACAACAAATCAAATGTCGGCAGTAACGGTTGTGGCAATGGGACAGCAAACAAACATGCTACGGAAATTCATTGTGGACGGAACTACATATGATCCTCATGATGGTAAGATACATGATTGGCCAATTGGTACTATGGATACAAATCTACAGACAATTGCCAAAATTGCAGCTATCTGTAATGACGCAAACATCACACACTGTGGTAATCAGTTTATTTCCAGTGGTATGCCTACTGAGGCCGCTTTGAAGGTAAAATTATTTCACCTGTTGTTGTTTCAAAATGTTTATGGCTTTCAGCTTAATTCAAACTGCATAATTTGAAGAACAGTTCATCATAAGGGGAATAGTAATAGTGCGGATTTGCTGCTCCATTATTTATTTCGTACAATTTCCCTGCCCTGTGATATTTATGTCATCATATTTGGAAAGGGAATTTTTCTCATAGAAGGTACTTGTTAGAGTGCTTAGTAGCAAACGAACTATATCAAGGTGCTCACGTGGTTGGCAAGATATAGATAAAATCTGAAAGTGGTATTTCTATGGAAATTGTTATAATTTTCTTCCTGTTTTATCTTCATTGTTTTGAATGATTCAGTTATTATTTGGCCAGAAGAATATCATCAGCTTTTGATTAAAGCAAACAACATCTTTTTTTATCCCTTTTATTAAAGAGAAATTACATACATATGACATCAGGTTCTTGTTGAAAAAATGGGGCTTCCAGGAGGATATCCGGTATCGTCTGCTCCATCTTTCACTATATTGAGTATGTCAGCACCGCATACCAGCTTTATTGTTTGTTTAATTTTATGTCAAAATGAACTGTGCTTGATATTTTTCTTATTGTTTCATTATGTTTTATAAGGATGCTGTGAATGGTGGAAGGGAATTGAACAAAGGATTGCAACTCTTGAGTTTGATCGGGCTCGTAAATCAATGGGAGTGTTAGTAAAGTCAGATAAAGGAACTATTTCCCTACTTGTAAAGGTATTCTATGTTGTCTCTTGCCTTTTCTATGCATACCATGACATAGATTTTATTGCATTACATGGCCTAATATATCTTTTAGTCCTATTGATTCTGTAGATGTAGAAAACTCTGATCAAAATTTTACTTATGTATAGATGTAGATCACTCTGATCAAAATATTACGTATTCTCAATGATACTAAGTGGCTGTAACCATTTGCTGATAAGATGGTGGATTAAGATATCTAAGAGTAAAAGAAGTTCTTCCTTATTCTTTTCTTTTAAAATAACTAGTATACATACAATTTTAGTGACATCGTATGTGCAAGTTGACTTAAGGAACCTCTTGTTAATAAAATATAAAATGCAGTGGAAATACTTCCGAGTACCTGATCTGAATTTTTTTTTTTTTTGAGAAAATTGAGGTCACTATTCACATTTCATTAAAAATAATTATCTGTAAAAAAAAATTTCTTTTTGTGAATGTACTTGCAGTCAACAGTTGATGAACATACTATTTTAGTTAAGAAAAGGTGAATATAAGTTTAAGAAATGTCTCTTGTTATGAAGCATGGGAACAATACAGTGATACAAATATTATACAGTATGAAAAATCTTGAAAAACAATGTTATTGAATTGACTAGGATATGATGCCATCTATACAAACACATTCTCACAGGGAGTAGAACTTTAATGACTCTGATACCATTATTGATAATTAGAAAGAAAAGCGAGGAGAGTAAAAAAAAAATGAGAGGTTTTATGATTGATTTTTAGCCCCGTATTTATGTGAAAAAAAAGATAAATTGCATAGAAACGGATTAAAGAATAACCATCTAGAAAATAAATAAATTTGGAGATCAATTTTTAATTATATAATACAAAATTAAATACACAAGAAATAGAATGATTTTCAGATTTTGTCCATGAATTGCTGGATTTCTATAGATGAAAAACTATTGTCCAAAGATTGTTGGATTGTTGTAGACGGAAAGTTATTTGTCCATGAATTGTTGAATCGATATAGATGGAATGTTGATGTCCATGAATTCAAGATTATTTAAACGAAGAAAAATAGAGTTGGTGGATTATTGATTTCAGAGTGAGAGTGGTGATGTGTTGGATTCAATAACGTTAGCGAATTAATACAATTTAAGGAAGCAAAGAAGAGTTAACTTCCATGTTCTAAGAAAAAGTTTAACTTCCATGTTCTAGGAAAAAAGTTAAAAAAAGGAGGTACAAGTTAGGAGGGAGACTTCTGGAAAGGATCATGATGATCAAGTTTGTATTGCATAAACTACTCTAATGTTAAGTCATATTAGTGCAACATTTAGAATAAAGATATATCCATTTTGGAGACAGAAAAATTCAATGGCAGTTGCACATTCGATATTGATAAATCCATCTTGGTGTGCATCTAACTTGTTGAGGTATCTGCAAGTGTTTGGATGAAGCACAGATCGATCGAATGAAATTGTTCAATGTTTGGCCTCTTGGGGCTCTAAGAGTTTAAATATGCTCGTTTGGTTGCCACACTGAGATATTTGGTTATTTGCCACTAAGTTGGCATATTAGAAATGATTATTCAGAATTTGAAAATAAAATAATTCTCAAATATTTGCAAATCGGAGGTATTATACCGCATAGTTTCAGTTGATGTGAAAGAAGCTTGTCATGTGTTGGGAGTACTTTGTCCCTCTAAAAAATATGGCCATTAAAGTACGGTACAAAACTAATTAATCCCTTAGAAAAAATGCTAAGAAATTAGAATTTATTGGCTGAAGTTATTCACAGCGTGTTCCAAAATTTAATCAAAGAGACAAGATTGTGAAAAATTAGAAAGCACTACTGAATCTTTATTTTTGAGGGTAATATAATACATGAGTGGAAGTGTTTCTGCAATGCATATTCATGTTAAGCATATGAGTGCAAGAGAAATGTGTGTTGAGATTATGGATGATTGGGGTATGCATACTGGTATGTGCAATGTTTGATTGAAGTAGTGGAAGGCAGGCAATGCATGCACACTTATTATTTGCAGAGATTAGTACAAAGGTATGCCTGGAGGCTGTTAAACTTTGGGCTTGAACCTTCTTCATTGATTTCCTCTTTATTTCTGAATCATGGAAGAGGAACTTAATATCTCTGGCTATGGTATTACAAAAATCAGTTTCTAGTTATCTCTCCCCTTAAACCCACACATCATGACAAAGACATGGTAAAAGCAACAAAAAATATCCTTATATTATTGAACTTATCTAAATATGCTGATGCATTTAAAGTTGACGATGGATGGGCTTTTCCTTTTTCACTGTGGTTATCTTTTGAAACACCATTTACAATAGCGCCTTAAATATATTTGCCGATGGAAACATGTCAATTTATAACATATAGCACATTTGTATGTCTTTCTTCATTTTATAAGCACTTGATAACTGTAGTATACCTAAATTTTAAATAGAGAATTGCAGTTCATCTATCTTCATGAAGATAAATTCATACCTTTTTCCGAAACACAATTGTAATATTATAATGAAATGTTGATGATTCTATAATCTCTTCTCAGATTTAGAGTCATATTTTTGTATGCATGGCTACCACTATGGCCTAAGTTTTCCTTGGTCTTTCTACTGATCGATATGGATAATTATAATCAATTCACCATTGTCTAATAGGGAGCTGTTGAAAGTTTGTTGGAGAGAAGTTCCTACATTCAGTTGCTTGATGGTTATGTTGTCAGGCTGACTGAAAGTTCAAAATCCCTAATTTTACAAGCTGTTCACGAGATGTCAATAAATGCCTTACGTTGTCTGGGATTTGCTTACAAGGAGGATGTTGCAGATTTCTCTAATTATGACGGGGAAGGCCATCCTGCTCATAAGCTTCTACTTGATCCTTCTAATTATGCTTTTATAGAAAGTGATCTCATATTTGCTGGTTTGGTTGGGCTGAGGGTAAGACAAACCTCTGATTTTTTATCTAATTCAATATGATAGATTTTTTTTTCCGTCTGCTTTTTTCTTTAACTGCCTTGGATAATTTATTTTTTCACTTGAACTGTGATTTCTGATATCACAGGATCCTCCACGTGAAGAAGTTTACCAAGCTATTGAGGACTGTAAAGAAGCTGGCATTCGAGTAATGGTGATAACGGGAGACAACAAAGAAACAGCAGAGACAATTTGCCGTGAAATAGGTGTATTTGGGCATGAGGAAGATATTAAAATGAAGAGCCTTACAGGTAAAGAGTTCATGGCACTCACTGATAAGAAGTCTCTGTTGAGGAGACGTGGTGGGCTTCTCTTCTCGAGGGCTGAGCCAAAGCATAAACAAGAGATTGTGAGATTGCTTAAAGAAGATGGGGAGGTCGTCGCAATGACCGGTGATGGAGTGAATGACGCTCCAGCCCTAAAAATGGCTGATATTGGTATCGCAATGGGCGTTGCTGGGACTGAGGTAATATTCTGTTTCCCTCTGTTGCGTCCAATTCTATCATCAGTTAAGATTTTTTTTTTTTTTTTTACTATTGTTCAAATGTTAAGACTTAGTTATTTTAATTGTTGAATTGATGCATAGGGATTGTTCATGAAGAAATTCAGGAAGTTGTATAATAAAAATTTTAACTGCTTGATATTCTTGGTCATAGGGGAGTATTTATGTGAATTACCACTTCTACAATAATAATCGAAAGAACTGAGCAAGGTTATCATGATGCCACGTAGCACGTTATGGACTTTATGGTGCTTGATTGCATCCTTTCAAGTTACATAAGCCTATTCATTACTACATAACTGAATATTCGAAAGGATCATTTATTAAGAGGGATTTAAAATTTTAGTGAGAGTTCTTTTTGACAAAAGATCCCTATATCTTAAAGCTATCTTTGCTCTCCTAAAGTTCAGTTTCTATAAATTCTTGAAAATACTAAAAACCCAGGGAGGCGTGATTGTGTTTATATAATGCTAGTGTTTTGGTAATTTAACCCAATGCTGTGTCTCCATAAGCCTTCTAATTCTTTTTCAGGTTTTCTTTTTTTCAAGCTAGGATTGGAGCCTTTGTGGTTAGTAGTTGATTACATAAATCATATTAATACAATTGTTGCATGCTAAAATATTGACGATGATAAAGGGAGATTTTATCTTCTTAGGGTTTCATGAAATTCCTACACTCACACAAATAAGTGAAGGGGAGTGCGTTAGAAGCGTGATATTTTTTATGAGAAAAATTATGTAAAGCGAAAAATTACGGCTTGGCTCATTTGAAACAATTGCTTGATTACGCTTAGGCTAAATCACATGCTAGGAACTCTAGAATCCACAAAATAATTTAAAATTTCAATCGAATGCATATTAAATAGTTATTCAATAAAATCCCTAAGTTAACATTGAGATTAGAAACACAAAAAATTAAAACTTAAATCCTACGTTTACTAAGCGAAGACAGAGAGCTTGGCATGAGTCCTTGTGCTTGAATCATAGCCTACAAGAGCAGAGGATTAGAAGATAATTTGAATAGGGGATAAAGTTCACCCTCGTCGAGGACCAGAAGTTATTTGCCACTGAACGTTGACAAGTTGCTATTCGATTGCTTCGGTCAATGTGAAGATGATTTGATCAAGGTATTCGTCGGCGGAGTTGTCAATCTCCTGGTTGACGTCGAAGAATGTAGATCGGAGAATGTTGACGTTTCCTTGCTCGTTGTAGACAAAGCCGGAGTCAAGGTCGGGATCGGTCATTTTTTTTATTCCTTGGTTGTAGTGTTGTAGAAGAAGCTCTTGGCTTCCCTTAAGGACTCCTCTTGAGATGGAGTTTATCTCAATGATTCAAGTGGGGTAGAGGGAAAGGGGTGGCCAGCCAAGGATGAGGGGCGAGGGGGAAGAATTAGGTTCAGATTTTAGAGAGAGGAAGGTGGAGGGAAATCAAACAATTGTTTTCCTAATTAATCCTTTAACTTGGAAAGGATTTAGGTGTGATTAGGAAAGGGTGGGGGTAGCTAATAGAGAGAAAGAGGGTTTGAATTATTTCCAAGAGAGAATCTTGACTTTTGGAAATAATTTCAAAGGGAACCATGAGGGGGGCCCAGCGGCATAGGGGGAGAGAGAGGGGTTTTGGGAAATAAATCAAGTCTTCTTAATTTAGATTATTAAATTAGGAAGGGCTTAATTACTCCCATTTAATTTAAAATTCAAAAGGGGTTGAATTTTTAAAACTTTCCTAAAATAAAATTGGTATTTTAAGCAACAAATTCAAATTCGAATAGATTTGAATTTGCAAATTAATTGAGTTACCTAAAATATAAAGATATAATTTAAAAATAATTAATTGCAAGTGTTGATGGAGGGAAACCCAAAGAGGGGTCCGGCGGCTTGGGCTAGGGGGATTTGGGTTAGGGGACGGTGGCTAGGTAGGGAGATGGGTGGTTGATTGGGTGGTTTTGGTGGGATGAAGCCAACGGGTGTAAAGGGGGAAAAGGATTGGAGGACCGGTGGGTGGAGCTAGGTGAACCGTGGGTTGGAGGAAGAAGAAGAGAGGGGGATTAGAAAAGAAAAGATAAACTAGCCACGAATTCGTACTCTTCCAAGGTTGGTGGGTGATCCGCTTCCCTGTCTAAGGGATCTCTCTCCAACACCTCTCAAGCTCTCACAAGAACTCAAAGCGCAACAGAAATTTTATCATTCATTCATCAACCTTCAAAAGAAAATATAAGGGCTATATATAGCCTCATGCAATGGACAAAAAATAAAAAGATTTGTGCTTTAAGCTTTGGAAATTATGTAAAAATCCATGCTATAATAGAAAAAAATTTTGGTGCCGTGTCTATGCTAGCTGTGCTAATCAAACTAATCATATTACATACTAGACAAAACCATTATTTTTTCATCGATTACAGTTGATTTTTTTAGAGCATATTTCCATCAACACTAAGCTTTTAGCTGCAAACTTCTTACTGCAGGTTGCTAAGGAGGCTTCGGATATGGTCTTAGCAGATGATAATTTCAGTACAATAGTTGCTGCTGTTGGTGAGGGAAGATCTATATATAACAATATGAAGGCCTTCATAAGGTTTTACCTTTGATCCATTTCATTTGAGAATAGCTGTTTCTAATACAAGCGCTAGAATTGGTAGAGTTTGATTCCTTGACAAAATTTCAGATTGCTTCTGAAGAATCTGCAATATTATCTTATGCATTGAAACTTTATATGATTGGATGACCATCTTTTTAGGCGTTTAGTACTGTTTCATGCCTGTATGAAATGCTTGATTTAATGTTCACTTTCCCAGGATGAGTATGCTCCTGAAGTTGTGGGATGCATCCCTTAAAATACAACCTTGCATGATAATAGTGGAGCATACATGACAGGAGAATTTGGCTTATAACAAACAAATACTAAATTGTTTGCATATGTGATATGTGTTTATTAAACACCAGTGCTTACTCTCTAAAAATAGGGAGGAAAAAAAAAGAAAAAAAAAAAAGAAAACCGAATCTCTTATTCCATTTTATTCGCCCCTTCCTATTTATGGGGTAAGCTAGGTCTTATGAGGTGAAAATTCCTGTTTGTCATTACTTCAGCACAACTAATTTTCTTCTTTAATTAAGATTTCATTTGGGACGATTTTTTTATTGCTTTTTAAAGCATAATTTTAGTAAAAAAAATTATTTTTTTTTTTTACTAAAACTCTGTTTTAAGAAGCAATAAAAAAGTCATCCCAAATAAAGCCTTAGTTTTGTTTTTAAACTAACAAGGGATTGCAACAGCTTTTTAATAACATGATTTTTCTTTTTCTAATGACTAGTCCTCAACTTTGAACTTTTTCCACTGAATTGTATGGTAAAAAATCTTCTCTGTTTTTGTCTGCTATTTAGGTATATGATTTCCTCAAATATTGGTGAAGTTGCTTCCATATTCTTAACAGCAGCCCTGGGTATTCCGGAAGGGCTGATTCCAGTTCAGCTTTTGTGGGTTAATCTCGTCACAGATGGCCCTCCTGCAACTGCTTTAGGATTCAATCCACCTGATAGGAATATCATGAAGAAACCACCTCGAAGAAGTGATGATTCACTTATTAGCGCCTGGATTTTATTCCGTTATCTGGTATTTGTTTTGTCTCAATGCATCCTGTTTTACTTCATTAAAGTATTAAAAGATCCCTGTATAGAGCTGAAGCATAGCTAAAGCTTAAAATCTTGTGTCTGATGACGATTAATTTAACTTTCCACTGATAATTAGTGGCAATGTGCCGGCGATTTTACAAAGAGTAATGCTAATAAGGTACAATTTGTTGCCGAAAGTTCAGCTGAATGAGGAAAATTACTGTTATAACTTTTTGCTAAAATTATTGGTAATGGGCATGAGGCTGATTAGAAAAGTAATTTTCTCCCATTCAACAGAAGTTTTGGTTAGAAATTTCAGCCTTACTAGTATTTTTTGTTGGATGAATTGTTTGCTTGGTTTATTTTGGACCTTCTAAAAATCTTTGTAATGATGGGGTAAAACTGTGCTCAACAACCCTTCCACAACCTTGCATTTAATGGTAGCTCCACACTGGTGCCTCTTTTATATTGATAAAGACGCCATGTAATTCCGAGCAAGCTATAGACCTAATGGATTTCTCTATGAGGAATTTTGTTTCTATATTCATGTAAATGAATCTTGTTATCCTAATTCACCTCCATCTTGAATACCGCAAAGTTTTGTTGCCCTTTTGAAAATTGCTTCATTGTGGACTTGCCTTTTGTCTGGAATGCTTGCTTTGTGCTGCAAGTTGTTGGCGCGGATTTTTTTCTGCGTTAAATATTATTGGAGTCTTCTTCCCATTTCCACTTGTTCATATCCATAGGCCTCAAATCTTTGATGAATTGTTATGTACGGACACCGGACGGGAAGAACCACTCTGTGAAGCTCACTGCGCTTTTACTGTTCACAGAGACAAAACCGGACCTTTCTTCCTGTCCGGTGTCCGCACAAAATAATCTCTCCAAATCTTGGCCTTGGTTAACAGTGAAAGACCCAAAGCCGAGAAGGAAATAAAGGAAAAGCAAGAACTGAAAGAAAGCTTTTAATCATACTATAGATGGCTAACATTACAGGGATATAAATAGAGCTGGTAATACAATGGGTATAACAGCTAATACACGTGTAACTATATGAGCGGTTCTATTAACCCCTCTCAAATTGAACATTCCTAGGCTGAATGGTCAATTTGCTGCGGAGATCATAAAATCTGGAGGAATGAAGTGGTTTGGTGAGAATATCTGATATATGATCGGTGGAGCTGACATGAGAGATGGTGATGGTGGCGGAGTCGATGTGATGCTGAATGAAGTGAAAATCGATCTCTATGTGCTTCGTTCTGGAGTGAAAGACTGGGTTGTTTTCCAGAGCGATGGCGGATGTGTTGTCACAGTGAATGGTGGTCGGAGAAATTTGCGGAATATGAAATTTCCAGGAGTCGGAGGAGCAATAAGACTTCGAATGTTACCGCGGCCAAGGAGCGGTTCTCCGCTTCAGTGGAAGACTTGGCAACCGTAGGTTGTTTCTTGACAGACCAAGATATGGGGTTTGAGCTGAGAAAGGTGCATAACCCAAAAGACAGATTTCCTGTCGGTTGGATCGGCGGCCTAGTCGGTGTCAGAATATCAGGTGAGTTGTAGGTTGCTTGGGTGAAGTGGCAGTCCATAGTTGAGTGTCCCTTTGATGTAGCGGAGAAGGTGTTTAAACAGTTGAAAGTGCTGGTTTGTGGGAGAATGCATATATTGGCAAATTGAGTTTGTTGCAAATGCAATATCGGGACGGGTGATGGATAAGTATTGGAGAGATCCGGCGAGTTTGCGGTAAAGCTGCGGGTCATAGAATGGTTGAACAGAGGAGTCGATATACAGAGGGCGGAGTGATCGACGTAGGTGCTGATTTGCATTCAGTGAATCTCACTGCCTTGATGATTTTGAGAGCATAATGTGCTTGGGAGAGAAATAGACCGGATGTAGTATGAAAGACTTGAATGCTGAGGAATAAGGAAATGTTCCCCAATTATTTGAGCTGGAAGTGGGATTGTAGCTGTTGTTTGAGATTGCAGATTGTATTTGAGTCGTTTCCTATAAGTAAAATATCGTCGACGTAGATCAAAACGTATAACTGGATACCGTTTTGATGAAAAATCATGAGAGAAGGATCGGAACGACTAAACCTGAACCCAAACTGTTGGAGAAATGAGGTGAATTTCTGAAACCAGAGACGCGGTGCTTGTTTGAGGCCGTAAATTGACTTGTGAAGCTTATAAAGTTGGGATTTTGTTGATCAGAGAAGCCCGGAGGCCAGAGGTTGTTTCATGTAGACGTCGTCGGGTAGGTTGCCGTGAAGGAAGGCGTTGGAAATGCCGAACTGAGAGATCTTCCATTTGCGAGTTAGAGCGAGGACGAGTAGCATACGGATAGTCGGCATTTTGGCCACCGGGCTGAATGTCTCGGTATAATTGATGCCATATTGTTGAGTGAAACCTTGTACTACAAGGCGAGCTTTGTAACGATCAACCCGACCGTTGGGCAGTCGTTTGATTTTGTAAGTCCATTTGCAACTTAAGACATGTTTATTGGGAGGAGGTGGGATGAGCGACCATGTTCCTTGGCGTTGAAGCTCCAAGAATTCGTTGGACATTGCTTTACGCCAATGTTCTTGAAGTCGGGCTTGATTATTGGAAGTGGGAGTGTCTGATGTTGTAGTAATTGCAGATAAGTCAAGGATGAGTTTGGGTTTAGTGATACCAGATTTGAATCTAGTTTGCATAGGATGTTCATGACTTTTCTTCTGTATTTCTTCTGTTAGCCATGTACCGTATTTGTAGATGATTGTTTTGAGGAAAAGAAAGAAAAATATAGATGATTTGTTCCGCTGCATTTGATGATTCATAGTAGCTCTGGTCTGTTCTGTGTGTTGGTGTTTGAGTTGAAATAATTAGGAAGATTTAGTTCAGTAAGCAAATTCCAAAGCCAGATCCTGGTCTGTCAGTCTGTTAGTTTCCGTGTCGCGACCCGGTGCGAGCGGGATCCGTCCCGGATCGGGTCGGGTCGTGAGATTGAATGGGTGATTGAATATGAGAGTTGTGAGAGTGCTTAGCTTGAGAGAGATCGGGTTTGTGGTTGGTCGATGGAGTGGATGGAGGTGTGTTGGGGTGAGTGGGTTTGGGAGTTGCGGAAACATGTATGAGAAGGAGGGGTGAGACGTCGGTCATGGTAACAGTGTTCTCGGCTTGGTTAATCGGTTGCTTGAAGGGATATATGTGTTCGTAGAACACCACATGTCGTGATATATGAATCTTTTTAGTTTTAAGATTGTAGCAGCGATATCCCTTGTGAAGAGAGGAGTAGCCAAGGAATAAGCATTCGTGAAAGCAAGGAGTAAGTTTATTTAGGGCATATGGTTTTAGCCAGGGAAAGCATAAGCATCCGAATGAGCAAAGGTAGTTGTAGTTGAGAGATGTATTGTGAAGTTTGGAGTAAGGATAGAGAAGTTGAATAGATTTGGAGGGAAGTCGGTTTATTAAGTAGTTTGCTATGTTGAGAGCTTCGGCCCAGAATGACAGGGGCAAATTAGCAGCATGAAGAAGAGTCCTAGTTAGTTCAAGTAGATGCATGTGTTTACGTTCTGACAAGCCATGTTGTTCGGGAGTGTGAGGGAAGCTAACTTGATGAGTTATATCGTGATTGGCTAGATAAGTTTGGAAGGCGGTGCTCGTGAATTCGCCGCCTCCGTCAGATCGAAAGGTAATGAGCTTGGCATTGAATTTATTTTGAATAAGCGAATGAAGATGTTTGAATTTAGTGAACGTTTCATCTTTGAAGTGCATTAAATAAATCCAGGAAAATCTAGTGGAATCATCGACAAAGGTCACATAATATTTGAAGCCATTTAGGGAAGGCACTGGGGAGGGACCCCAAACGTCGGAATGAACAACAGTGAAAGGTGTAGTAGTAGTAGATGTACTTTTATTAAATGGTTGTTTGTGGTTCTTTGCTACATTACAAGAGTTACAAACGTAAGCAGAATTGAAATTACAGAATTCAGGAATAGTCTTGGCAAGAGTAGAAAGAATTCGTTGATGAGGATGTCCGAGGCGGGCGTGCCATAGTTTAGTGGAGGAGGTGTTGGCCTGAAGAGCAGTCGGCTGCCGAAGTGGCTGAGTTTGGAGTTGGTATAGTCCGTTATTGAGATGACCATGATGAAGAGTTCGAAGGTCCTGGCGATCCTTGATAACAAATCCGTTAGAATCGAAGTGAACAGAAACATTGTTATCAGTAGTTAGTTTTGAAATTGAAACAAGATTATGAGAAATAAGAGGAACATGAAGAAGTTTTTTCAGTTTTAACTTACGAGCGGAGTCCGGTGGCAGAAGAAGACCATTTCTGGAGCTGTGAATGGGCACAGTGGCTCCGTTAGCGATGGAAACAGAGTGGGGATCTTGATAAGCTGTCGGTTGATGTAAGTTGTTAAGGTCCGGTGTTAGATGCGACGAAGCTCTGGAATCAAGAACCCAATTGGTTGTGTTGATGGCATTATTGTGAGTCATCATGGCACGAGGAGGCCATGGAATGGTGGGTGCAAACTTGAGGTTGCGCCTATGCCAACAGTTCAAGGCAAGATGTCCTAGTTTACCGCAGATTTGGCACAGTGGACGGTCTGAAGCAGGAGAAGGGCAGGAAGAATTATATTGAGAGTCGGTCGAGGTTGCTGGTTTCAATTGGAGTTGGAACGATTGTAAGTGCGGCCACGGTTAGAAGAATTGCGCTTTGTGTAAAGTGCGGTGGTGTCGGAAGTTGAGGAAGAAGATCTAAGTTGCTCGTTGTGAAGATTAATCTCCTCACTGCAGAGTAAGGAGTAAGGGTATCAAGATTTATGCGTGTAAGGGATGTGCGAATGGCAGATTTGAACGGGTTGTAGGATGCGGGAAGACCATTCAAGATATAGAGTATGATATCTTCGGAGTCGATCTTGGAGCCAAAAGCGGCGAGGTTGTCCACCAGATTTTTGATTTGAGTGAGATATAGCTGCATAGAGGAATCCTTCATTTGAATGTTGTGTAGTTCATGTTTGAGTTGAATTACCCGTGAGCGATTTGAAGGTTGAAGACGCCGTTCAAGGATGTGCTAGATTTCTTGAGCCGTCAAAGCAGTAAGAACATAGGGAAGAATAGAGGTAGAGATTCTAGAGAAGAGTGCATATATGAGATTTTTGTCGACAAGAATCCATTGATTGTAGGCAGAACTCATTTGATCGACGGGGCAGGAGGTGTCGCCGGTCAGATGACCGGAGAATCTGTTTGCGGCGAAGTGTTGGAGTTGTAGTCTCCAGATGGGGTATGCATCGGACGAAAGTTGAACGGGAACGAGAGTTTTGAGATTTGAGATGAGGAACTTGAGGTTGGGCGGGATAGAAGTGTCTGCGGATGGAGATTGGTTGAGGAGATGCTATCGATTCTTCTTGATCTGCCATGGCAAGAAAGAGGCAAGCTCTAATACCATGAAAGACTCAAAGCCGGAGAAGGAAATTAAGAAAAAGCAAGAACTGAAAGAAAGCTTTTAATCATACTATAGATGGCTAACATTACAAGAATATAAATAGAGCTGGTAATACAATGGGTATAACGGCTAATACACGTGTAACTATATGAGTGGTTTTATTAAACAGCAGCAGTTCTTCTCTCTTTACAATTCTGAAATGAATTTTTTTTTTCAATTTGATTCAGAGAACTGAGAACTTTTATTCACCATGTAGGTTATTGGTCTCTACGTTGGCATTGCTACAGTTGGTGTCTTCGTCATATGGTATACTCATGGTTCATTCCTGGGTATCAACTTAACCGGCGATGGCCACACTCTAGTTACATATCAGCAGCTTTCCAACTGGGATGAATGCCACACATGGGAGGACTTCAAGGTCTCCCCTTTCACTGCCGGCTCACTTAACTTCTCCTTCCATTCAAACCCCTGTGACTATTTCCAATCTGGCAAAGTAAAAGCTATGACTCTGTCCCTCTCCGTCCTCGTCGCCATCGAGATGTTCAACTCCCTAAATGCCCTTTCTGAGGATGTTAGCCTCCTCAGAATGCCACCATGGGTGAATCCATATCTCCTTCTAGCCATGTCTGTTTCATTTGGCCTGCATTTTCTAATATTGTATGTGCCGTTTCTCGCACAAGTCTTTGGAATTGTGCCACTTAGTCTCAATGAGTGGTTGCTGGTGCTCGCTGTGGCATTTCCTGTCATCCTTATTGATGAAGCTCTTAAGTTTGTTGGACGGTGCATTCACTCCAAAGGCTTTGAGAGGCAGCGTTTGAAGCAGAAAGAGAACTGAAGGCCAGCTCTAGCAATGGACAGGTAAGGTTTTTCTTATGGCTTATAGTAATTACTGTAACGGTCACGCAAAATCTAGTTAGCAAGCAATCTGTTCTGTTCTGCACAATCAGATTTTGGGCCAGTTACTGAACTGAGATACAAGAAGCTTGATCTTGGGATAATAGGCTGGAGAATATGGATGATATTCAGGCATAGTTTATATTGTAAATGCAATGGTGTGTCAAATACAAACTATAGTTAAATTTACTAAGGAAATTTAGCAATGAGCTGTGCTTTAGCTTTTTACGGCATACTTAGGCTTCGTTTGGGACAACTTTCTTACTGCTTCTTAAAGCAATTTTTTAATGCAAAATTTTTTTGTACTTGAATGCTGCTTTAAAGCAGTAAAAAAATCGTCCCAAACGAAACCTTAGTTTGAAAGAATCTAAGTGAGAATGTAATTGTATTATACTTTATAATTATGTATTGAGTGTTTGATTTCAATCTAATTAATTTGTAATTTAGGATTCTTTTGGGCCAACTTTTTTATTATTTTTATAAGATTGTTGAATTTAATTTTTTTTATTTTAATATTTCTCATTTGCTGGTATTGACATAACATTTCAGTTCATAATGATGTACATAATTGATAAAATATAACACATATAAAAATATTATTTTGTACTGTGTATATCATTTAATAATATTTTATTTTTAATTAATGAAAATTTATTTGAAATCGTGTAATTTAATGAATATATGAAATGTATCAAAACATAAGATTCATTATTCTCTTTGATATTCTTGGATGTTTTTGACATGCTTATTGTACAAGAATTTTCATAAATGTAACAATTGTTGTTCAGATATTTTATTAGAAGTTGAATATCTCATCTCAACAATTTAGCATGTATCCTTCACCACCTCATCTTGCGAAGGATCCAGAAGAGATGCTGCAGTGCATTAACTTTAGGCTTACTTTGAGACAAATTTTTTAGGCTTAGTTTGGGACGGTTTTCTTCCCGCTTCTTAAAATAATTTTTAGCACAAAAATTAAAATTTTTATACCTTAAAGTTGCTTTAAGAAGTAATAATAAAAGGTACCACGAAGCTTAATGTTTTCTAAAAATAAAATTTTAATGCAAAAAAAGTACTACGAAGTTACTTTATAAAACAATAAAAAAATAGCCCTAAACGAAGTCTTAGACTACAGTAACATGAAAGTATAAACTTAAGAAAAATTATTATATGCCTATTTTGATATATATGTTATTCCTGCATGTTCTTATATATCAAAATGATCAGAATGAAGTATAGAATATGATCAAAATGATTTGAATAACTTTTCAAGATAATGATAAATGATTATAATTTTCAAAATTTCTATTTTTAGAGAGAAGCAAGAGCTCTAGAATTTTCAAAAGTAGATGTTGGGGAGGTAGTTGACTACTGGCCCAAGTTGATTACTAATACAAGAATGTGGGTGATCATGTTTGCTCAAACAACAGCTTCAAGTAGTAGGGGACATATTTGGGTTTCGCTTGAGACAGTTTTCTTACTGCTTTTTAAAGCAGATTTTAGTACAAAATATTCTTTCTCAAAAAATATTTACACTATAAAACTGTTTTATAAAGCAATACAAAAGCCGTCCCAAACGAAGCCTTAGTTTTCGCAAGCATGACCATTCTAAGAAAATTGTTTGAAGGGAAAATTGGTCTTGATAGCTTATGAAGCCAAAAGAGAACAGTCTAGCGCTTATAGTTTCTTTAGGTTAAAAAAAAAATACTCAAAAAGTCACACGTCATATCACTAAACTCTTAATGTAGGTTACTTACTATTTCAATAGTGATATTTATATGATCGAAATCATATCACAAAAATGAATTTGAATTTGGATAGGTGTTAGACTATCATCACCACATGTGCAACCCGCCTTTTGATCGATCACGACAAAGGAAAGAGGTCATGAATTGGGTTGGATCAATTCGATTTAGGCTTACTTTGGGATGACTTTCTTAATGCTTTTAAAAAGTAAATTTTTAGTAAAAAAATTTTTTTACTCAAAAGTTATTTTAAGAAGCAGTAAGAAATCTGTCCCAAATAAGCCTTAATCTAATTCTCTCATGTTTAATTAATTTAGGCCTAAAGATGATCGAGATTGATGATTTTAGTTTAATTTAAAATGACATTTGATCATTCATAATACAAGCTAAATTAATATATGTAGTTTTAATATATGTATTTTTATTAATTAATTATCATACTCTTCCTTGCCCTTGAGTCCATATACGAGTTAGCTGAAAATTATTTAAGCTATGGGCGGATCCACCTTAAGGCTAGAGGGGCAATTGCCCCACATGAAAAAATAAATTTTTTTATTGCATTATTCTTTAATTAATTTGTCTCTATACAGGTATTTTTTAGTCTTTATTACAAGGTCGAATCCCGCCAGAAGGTGCTGTCCCTTTGCTCCCTCAACATATCTACAAAGCGCACAACGATGAACAAATAGAGGTTGAGAGGCAGCGCCCTCAGAACAAATTTTAGTTGTAAGGATATTTATATAAAAAAAAAAATTCTACACTTTTGCTTATAAATTTGCTCCCCCTAAAATTAAGGTTGGATCGGCCCTTTGATTTAAGCCGAGTTCGATAATAAAAAAAATATTTAAAATATAATAATTTTTTACATATATACCATTCTATACTATTCTATTTACATATTTAACACCTATAAATCATTTTCATATCAAATATGAGTGATATAAATAAAATATATGATTGGTAGGAAGAAAATATGAGTAACATATTTGTAATATGAATAATGTTAAAATTTTAAATATTACATATATAAATAATATGATATAAAGTAGGGATTTTTACATACATACCACTTTATTACATATATATTACATATTTAACACCTAAAACTTAAATATTACACCAATACCACCTAAAATCAATTTTTACCTCAGAAATACCACTCCGTTAACAGCGAATATCACTCCGTTTTACGTTCCCGCCTTGTTTTTTTCGCGGTAGAACCCTGAAGCCCGTATTAGCTCTTCTACGGAACCTGTTCCTCCATCCGATTTCTTCCGATTTCCTCCATGCGATTTCTTCTATCAAACCAGGTGAATTTTCTTTGGGTTCTTATTCCGATTTCCACCGTATTTGCTCTGCTTTCCCGACAATCTGTTTTATTCACCGGTTTTGGGAGGCTTTTACCGTGAAAGAATTCGGTAATGGCTTTATGAAAGAATTCCACACTTGCCGTGAAAGAATTTCCACCGTATTTGCTCTGTAGCCGTGAAAGAATTCCACACTTGCTTGCAATAGTTGGATGAAACATTTTCCTTTGTTTATGGCTTTATGAAACTTTTGTCAGATTTAAAATGAAACTTTTTTTTTCTTTTTGGCACTCATTAACTGTGTCATGTGGTGTTTATTTCAGCTTGAAGTTAAAAGAAATGACAACCTCATGGCATAATTCGGTAATGCAGGATTGTGATTGTGACGAAGAAATAGATGATTTATGTGGAGATAAAGAAGAGCATTTGTTTATTGCTTTTAAATTTGGAGGAATTTGGGTTGACACATGTAGAAGAATATATCAGAGATATAACAACAAGGAAAGATCATTTGGTTGTTCGGCAAGCTAGCAATTTCAAGGCTGAGGTGGAAGGATTACACTCAAGACACATTGTTGATATCGAAAGAAAAGACTGCACTTGTCGAGTATGGCAGCTAATAGGTTTGCCTTGCATTCATGCCGTGGCCTTCATTGGTATGAAAGAGCACCCATTGTGGCACACATATGTTGATGAGTTCTACTACGTAGCAAGGTATGCAATATCATTCATTGTTCATTGCTTACATGTATATTACATCTACTAATTTGGAGGTAACATGTTTTGTAGATATAGACTAGCATATGATGGAGCAATTGCCGCATTACCTGGGAAGGAGCAATGGCGACTTGTAGTAAATTGTGAGCAAGTAGGTGTACCAAACACATGTAGACCAAGAGGTAGACCAAGGAAAAGAAGGCTTTTGAATTTCTTGGAGCAAGACAAGAGATCACATAGATGTGGAAGATGTGGTCTATGGGGACATCATCGAAGTACTTGCAAGAATCCTTTGCAAAATGTGAATAACGAGGAGACGATGGTCACGGAAGTAGGACGAAAACGACGGGACAAGTTGCCAAGTAGACGGGTAGCGGATGACGTTGAGCAGCAGGAGTTTAATTATGCATATTTAGATGGCTTCTAAAATGAAGATCATGTTTTGTTACATTTACTTTTGCTGTTTTTGTTATGTTTCATAATTTCATATCTGCTTATAACAATATTAGAGGTTGCTCCTGGTTTTGTTTCATATCTGCTTATAACAATATTAGAGGTTGATCCTGGTTTTGTTTCATAGTTTCACATTGGCTTATAACAATATTACTGGTTTCATAAAGCTGATTGCTCATGGTTTTAGTGTCGGCTGTATTGAATGGTTCCGAGAATAGCTGCAGTCGACTGCACTGAATAATATTTACTGGATGTATGCAGCTGCAGTCCTGCAGGTCGTGGACTGCAATCAAGTCCTAAATCAAGTCCTGCAGGTCGTGGACTGCAACATACACTTCCTAGCTGCAGCTGCACTATATCATTTTTACTGCACGTATGCAGCTGCAGTCCACAAAAACTACGGTGGACTGCAATCAAGTCCTGCAGTGGACCACGGCCGAATCAAGAAAAATTGCTGCGATGCGATGCATATACTCGACCAGCTAGACTTCAGTGTATGTGTACTGCACTTAAGCTTAAGTGGACTGCAATCAATAAAAACAACATACACTGCAGAGCATCTCAATTTTCATTCGGATACACTGCAGGGCATCTCAACATATATGCATCTCAATTTTCAGTCGGATTGCACTCAGTTTTCATTGCAGGGCAGCTGCATATATGCACATGATCAACACAAGCAACTATAAAACATAACAGAAATTTTTAAAAGAAATTTTTTTCATTAATTTGGATAACCAAACAACATACACATGATCAACACAAGCAACTAACATAGACGACTAAACAAAACAACAAAACCTGTGTTGATACTTCTTAGCAACATACATTACAAACTCAAACGGATGGCTACATCAACAAGAACAATTGCAATGAAGACTTTCATCAAATTTCTGATCCAATCAAGCCTCTTAATAACCTGTGCCTGAAAGACTTTGCGTTCATCTTCTGTTCCATCATATGCATCTTCTACTTCATCGATCCATCTAAAGAATATGCAGTCGTCATCAGTTCGATTATTCACGCACCTATAAAATTATCTTCCACTATTAGGACCACGATGGCATGTATACAAGACACAATTCAGGCGACAATAACAATAAACTTCAGCTCGTGTGCGCCTCGTGCCAGACGAATTCGTAGAACTCATTCCAACTGTTAAAACAATCTGTCAAAAAAAAAAATGGAATAAATGAATTTGTAAGAACAATTCTCTGAAGTCCACAAAAATGCAAGAGTGAAAATCTTTCTGAACAATTCTCTGAATCTTGGCAGCAACTCATTCACCAAAAACGAATTTTGTGAAAATCTTTAAAGATGAATTATCTGAAGCTTCGCAGCAACTCATTCACCAAAAAACGAAGTTTGCGAAAAACTTTAAACCAAAACCGATCTCCAAAAAACTTTAAACCAAAACCGATCTCTGAAGTGTGGGAATGCAAGAGTGAAGTGAGGGAAATTTTTTGAAGTTAGGAAAATCTTTTGCGTAGAAGAAAACCTGACGAAGATGCCCGGAGGGAGCACAGAGAGAGCGGAGATGGGGCGAATGCCGCTCCGAACGGGGTGCTAGCGGGGAGGAAGAGAAGTCGTCTGCAAGGGCTTTCCGAACGAAACTGGAGCGGAGCTGGGGCGAATGCCGCTCGCGACAGCTAGCGGGGAGGAAGAGAAGAGGTTTCGGCGGGCTTTAAAAAAACTATAATGCGATAAAATTATTTAAAAATAATAATAATATTAAGTATTATATTATATCATAGAAATTATCTTATATTTTATATAAATATCTTTTAATTTTTATAAAACATTTTATGAGTTTGAAAACAATAATATACACAACTTATATTTTTAAATGACAATTTTAACAATGTTTTTATTGAAAAGATAAACTCTTTATTTAATCCAATTAAATAATTTATTTGAAAACTAATTGCTGAATTAAAAATTTAATGTAGATTAAATTTTTATTAGAAATTTTTATAAACGAAATAATCCCTCCATTTTTTTTCCTTTCAACTCACCTCTCAGTGGCTCTCACACAACCACCTCAGGTTCTCACAAAGTCACAATTCCTCCTCCATGCCGGTCGCCGCCACCCACCGCCGATACGCCGGCGTACGCCATCCCTTCAGTCGAAATCTTCAAAATCCCCATAAACCTTATTCCCCTCTTCCGCCACCCTCTCCCTTCACGCGCGAAACCATCCACAAGATCTCCACCATCCTCCGCTCCCTCCCCTGGCACTCCGCTCAGAACCAACTCCACCTACTGCCCATCAAGTGGGACTCCTTCACTGTTAACCGCGTTCTTAAAACCCACCCTCCAATGGAAAAAGCCTGGCTCTTCTTCAACTGGGCCGCTCTCCTCCCGGGCTTCAAGCACGACCATTTCACCTACACGACCATGCTCGATATCTTTGGCGAAGCCGGCCGCATTGCCTCGATGAGGCAAGTTCTTAGGGAGATGGAAGAGAAGGGGCTTAGGATTGATGCTGCAACTTATACCTCGGTCATGCATTGGCTTGCTAAGGACGGGGATTTTGAGGGTGCGGTAGAGGTTTGGGAGGAGATGAGGAGAAAGCGAGGGTGCAGGCCAACGGCGGTTTCCTACACGGCGTTTATGAAGGTGTTGTTTGATCATGGGCGGCCACGGGAGGCCGTTGGGGTTTATAAGGAGATGCTGGAATTGGGGATGAGGCCGAATTGCTTTACTTATACGGTGATAATGGAGTACCTTGCGGGTGCAGGTAAGGTATTTGAGTTTGGTTGTTGAATTTCTTTGTTATTTTGTGAGTGGTTTTTGAGTAAATGAATTGAATTTTTAGAAGTAGGAGGGAATGGTGGATTTGCACCATAACTAGGAAGGTGGCTCACTTGCTTGAAGAGTCGGTTGCTCGATTTAAGTGGCTTGCTTGATGCTTGAATAGGAAGGTAAGCTGTTGAAGAAAGAGGATTCATTGGGCAAAGCTCACATCTTGTTCAATAATACCCCAACTAAATTTGTTTTCCTTAAGATAATTGGTGATCAGTGCATCAACATTACTAAAATTTCGTATAAAACAATGATAAAAAATAGCAAAGTCATGACAACTTTGTACCTTATAAATAGTTGCAGGTGTCAGCCATTAATGGATGCTGTGAACCTTTGCCTCTTCTAATTGGAAGGCACATTTTTTTATTGGAAAACCTGAAAAGAACACCTGATTAGTGAGGAAGTTGCATTTCTTTAAGCTAAGAAACTTGTTTTTGGTGCAACAAAAAACACAAGTATTGCAACCAAGAAGCAAAGATTGCATAATACCAAGATTTCTTTTCACTATAACTTAAACAACACAAATCAACTTCAAATAAAAGACAACTTCAAATATAAAACACAAAAACTTTCAACTTTCAAAAGTTTTGAGAAGAAGGATACATGTGGAATTAAAATCGTGGAGAGAAGTAGGTAGATGTTCAAGAAGAAGTAGAAGGAAGATAGCTCGCAAGCTAGTGAAACCCGCAGGTTTACATTCCAAAAATCATCAAAAATTCTCTCTTTAAAACATTAGCAAACAACCCCTTAAATATGAAAATGGAATCCAAACAGCCTACCACAAGTGCCACCCAAGCATCCAATCAAAATAGGGAAAAAACTCAAAGAACAAGGCACGGCCATCCCTAGAACCAAGCAGCCAGGCGTCCCAATAGCCAGCCCAGAAACCAAACAGCCAGGAAACCCAACAGACACAAAGGAGAGGCAAGACCAGCCAAAAATCTATCAGCCGAGCACTCCAAACACCAAGCAGCCTAGCACAAATGGGCTAAACCCATTAGAAGAAAAACAGTCCACCAATAAATGCCAAAATAAAGAAAAAATTGAAATTTTTTTTGCCCACATCAGTTTTGCTCTAAAGCTTTCAGGATTCACTTAAAATGCATGATAGCTTTTTCTTAGTCTCATTATAGGCTAGAATGTTGTCAAAATATACCATAAAAAAGTTGCCAGCAAATGGTTTCAATACTTGTTTCATTAGCTGCATTAAAGGTACTAGTCTATTTGTACAGCTTGAAAGACATTATTTGTCATTCATAAAGGGCCTTCCCTAGTCTGAAATGCTGCTTTCACTCGTTTCTTAGCCTAATGTGGACTCGGTGGTAGGCACTTTTGACTTCTAGCTTGGAGAAAATGCACAAGTCTTCTAATTTGTCATGTATTATCCCAGCAAAGGAATTGGGAATTGATAGCCATATTATTTACTAGCATGCATTAACTGCCCTCTTTTTTTTTTTCCAGACCAATAGCGTGGGTGCGATGTATGGATTGAGACTTAGTCAATTATTTAGTTAATAAGTTGTCAGCATACCTTGTGGACTTAATACTTTTTAAGACTCATTTGATAGTGCAACAGATTAGGTGAGCTCGAACCCATAATTATGACAATATGATGACGCACATCCTGGAAGGGTGGAAGCTCATTTGGAATGTCCACTAATTGCATGCTAAGTAATTTAATAAATCATCAATCTTTGGAGGAGTATTCGCAAGAGCTGCTTGTTTAAGAACTTGAAATTTGTAAAAATAATTTTAAAGTAAAAATCTAAAATTTTTGAAAATTGAGCTGGCGCGCTATGTGCTGTATTTACGAGTGCAGCGGCTTTGGAAGGCATTAGGAAAGCGCCGCAACCCCTAACGCCGCAACGACGCTGAGCTCTCTGGAATTTCTAAAAATAAATCAGCGCAACAACTCTAAGGTGGCTTTGCGGTGTGGTACTTTTTTATACTCAGTGCTGTGGCGCTGGGACATGGGAGCACCGTGGAGCTAGGTACTAAACAACATTTATATATTATATTATATTTAACATTAAGCCTCCCCCTTCCCCTAATTTTGCTTAGCTTGTCGAGTAAGGAAGAATAAAGAGAGAAAAAGGAAGAGGGGAGGAGGAGAGAGAGAAGAGAGAAAGATGTTCAAAGAATTTTGATCTACTGATTCTATTCTGAGAGATTTCTTCTATCGTGGTAGGTAACCAAAATCATACTCTAATTTTAATAATTTTAAATTGATGAATTTAATCTTCTCTAAATTGATAAAAATATATTTTCTTTTGGTTATTGCACTTTCATCGTGTAACTTTTTGTAAATGATAAATATAGATTGTAGGAGAATTTTTTGCTGTAATATTATTGAATTTTATTTAATAAATTAGAAGTTATGATTTTCTGAAGTTAATGCATAGTATACAAATTTTGTAGATTTCCTTGTATTTCATAGATTATTGCATTTTACATATGATATTGACTTGCATGGAAGAAAATGACATGACTGATATGAAATAAATATGACATTTGCATGTAAGAAAGGAAGACTAGCTTTTAACACTAATTAATATGGGTTTCCTCTTAAAATATAATACCCAGCGCAGAAGGGTGGGTCGATGGACTTTTCTTAAAATTAGAGGCTTGTGGTGTAATCCTTGATGTTAGCCTACAATTAATTGATTGAATTACACTGATAGGCAGATGTTGACACTCTTTATAAATTATTTAAAGTCGCTTGTAATGATGATGAATCAATGATAAAATGAATGATTGATAAGACTCATGGATGACAGATGAAATAATGAAAATATCTCATTAAAGATGAATCTCCTGCCTTCTTATTCATAATTGCATTCGTAATTGCATTTATATGATAAGTTGATAATACATGAACTGAATGATAGATATAACTAATATAGAACTAATGAAACTTGTATTGAAACTGACATAACATAATATACGACACATATACTTATAGACTTTTGTGAATATATTGACATAGTACATTGATATGACATACTGACAGATAGATACGCATGGCTCATCATTGATAGGAATATATGATGAAATTGTTTTCATGAATATAATTGATAGATAATCGATGTATGTATTATTGTATGGCACCTAATATGATTTTATAGATTATTATTGATTTTCTGATATGTTGATAGATTCAAATACTTCTTGATATGCTTTTGTTTTACTGATCATATTGATTTATTCATATTGATCACTGATTTTATATTGATTGGGTTGAGCATGTATATTGATTCTTGAGACCTTGCATTGAATGTAGTGATGGGTTTTGGTTGCTTTCTTGGTTGTGTGCTCATTATGTAGATTTGATTATTAGGAAAGGGTTCAGGACCCTATGAAGTGAGGCTGTCAGGATCTTCAGGTTTTTCTTTTGAGTTATATATATTTTTTTATTCTTTTGTAGTCAGGACCTGAAAGATAGATCAATGTATTTAATGATTTTCTAGCTATTGTAAATCACATTTTGATGAATAAATATAGTGAAAGATTTTGATGTATGTGATTTCATAGATTTGTTTCCGTTGTACTGATCTATATTGATGATTTTATAGGAGCTCTGATAGATTAAATAAGTGATAAAAGATATAGTTCTTCCAATTTTAGATTTTGGGGCGTTACACTTGTAGTGTCTTCACAACCAAAGCATAACCATTTCACTTTGCTTTAGCTCAGTGCAAAACTCATACCCAGGATAGTGAGTAAAAAATTGATGTTGTTAGGGTTAAGTGTAAGAGGTAGGAGGATGATTTTTTTTTTCTTACGTGATCATAGGTATAACCATTCTCTTTTCCCTTATAAAAGGCATTCTCATCATGCTGTTATGGTTGATCGAGGTGACTGCGGCAAGCATCCATATTCACCTTATTACAAAAGTTCTCTTGGTAAAATCTTCTAATGGAAAGTGATATCTTGCATAACTTGTTGACTTGAGTCTCCATACCTTTCTTGATCCAACCAATCTTTTAAGGCTGAGTATGATTCTTGGTGGGCAAGTTACGAGTGTTCACAAATGCCTTGTAACCATATTGTCACACGTCTTACTATCTATATGATTGCATTATTAAACTTTTTTTTTTTTGTGTTGTGCAATAATTACAGAAAATAGAATGATATTGTGTCGAGTCTTGTTTCTCAGTGAGTATAAACCACTCAACAATGCACATAAGTGATTCTCCTTCATCCCCTTCAACAAATTCATCTCCTTTATCCTTTTATTCTATTCCTCTTCTTATCAATCTTAGTCCTTCATCTCCTATGTGTGAGGTCTTTCATCATAGACATTTGTTTGGGCTTGTGACCAACCTGATTGTAACGAAAACAATAGACAAATGCGGGCCGAGCATATGGGTTAGTCTAAGCTAGTTGGGTAGGGATCTTCTCAATTGCTTTCGAGCTGCTGGGAGTATGATCCACAATAATTAGGTTGAAAGCCAATTTGTTGTGGGAGTGTAGTTTTTAAGGGAGTTGTGACTTGTTTATTGTTGCAGGAAAATTTGTTTAAGCTACTCTCTACTTTTTATGATAAGTTAACTGCTTTTTAAAACCTTAAAATAGTTTGAACAGAGTATAAGGAGTCATTTAACCCTCCAAGGTAACAAAAAATCTAGTGTTTTCTTGGTTCATATAGATAGATTGAAGCATTGAGTCAAGAAAATTCTTCAATGTACTCACTAAGCTACGATGTTAATAGGTTCCGTTTTTGAATTTATATGCTACAAGTTTAACTTATTTTTCTTTCAGTATATCCATGTGCTTAAAAAAGGATCCCACATCTTTAATCTAATCAAGACATTCTTCAATGTGCATATGACTGTTGATTACTTTATATAGAATTTGTCCTTGCACTCTTGATGATGATGGCATTGAGAATGTGGGTTGTGTGCATACCTTGGCTTATAAAAGATCCATGCCTCTTCTTTGTGATTTGTATTGGATTTAGGCATTTCTTATCTTAGAGGCTGCCATGGACTGTTAGAATCATAACTAATGTAATCTTTGCGCATCTCATCTCACATGGATCTCCATTGAATTCAATATTTCACATGGGACGCTTGTTGAACATCTTGTTGTATGGTCAATGCTGTTGATGGAGGATTTCAGTCTCTTGCAACAATGAGAATTCTCCATGCTTCGAAGGATAGGGTATTGAACCAATGCTCCAATGTTGTTTGGGATGCGCGAAGGTCTTTCCCATCGATATATGCATATGCTTTATAGTGACGTTCTCTGTCTCTATTGACCATCGCATGAGCTCGTTGACTCTGATACCAACTTGGCACAATGCATGGTCTAAGCAGCTGCTAGATTGAAAAGTGATGACTTAATCTTCAATGGTGCAAGAAGAAAGTTTTTCTATGTAATGCTCACCTATATAGTTCTATGAAGTGACCCGTCATAATGCCCTCAAATAGTAATATTTTCTAAGTTTGTTGAGTTTCTTTTTGAACTAATTTTGTATATGCATATATTTAATTAATGTTGCTCTCATAACTCTATTAGAAAATATTTTCTAAAGGTTTTTCTTTCAGGATAATTATATTAATGATTGCTTATGAATAGTGGTATAACCTTATGAATTGTTATAAGATATGAATTAACTTATGATGTTTGATTGAATTTCTTGATCTATTTTACTTTTGATTTACAAAATGTCTTCCATCACATTTTAGTGCATTCAATAAACTATTTTATGCATATTGTTTTTTATTTTTATGGACATTATATGGATATATACAAGATGATACTTATATGAATCGTCTTTGTATGAACATTATATGGAAATATTCAAGATGTGCTTATTTTTATGTATATTTTACTTATTTTTAACCCATCATATATACAAGATTAATATATGATTGTACAAGTGGTGTTCATCTTGCAAATTATTTTCACCCATATAAACATGTTGTAGCATTTCGTGACTACTTTCATAAATTTCTCATTTGGCTGGTGATATATACAGACCTATTGAAATCTCTTTTATTGCAAGCTTTTATGTGATTTGTTCTTTCAGTACTTCCAGCCGCAAAATTTCCATTTACCCCTTCATTAATTTGGATGATGATTATTGAAAGAGCTTCTCGTTTTTTCTTTTTTCTTTTTTTTTTTTGTTGTTGCAAAATTACTCCCCTGAAGTTGGTTTTACACAATTTGAATAATCAACCGTGTAGGTTTATTTAAAGACGCTTTTGAAATAATGAACGAAATGCAAGATGCTGGAATTCAACCTGACAAAGCTACATGCAACATTCTTGTCCAGAAGTGTTCTATTGCTGGAGAGACAACAATGATTACTCAGATTCTCAGCTACATGAAAGAGAACTCTATTGTTCTCCGCCGTCCTGTTTTTCTAGAAGCAATGGCAGCTTTTAGGAATTCTGGTGAGAGTGATCATCTTCTTAGAGAAGTAAACCCTCATCTTGCTTTTGAAGGTATTGAAGAGGAAATTTTAGAGTCTGAATTACCTTCTGATGATCCTACTTTTCTTGTGGATAGGAGCATTATCATTAATCTTCTGGCTACAAGGAACTTAGTCGCCATAGAACATTTATTGCGTGAAATGATTAATAAAGAAATACAAATGGAATCTGAAGTTTTATCTGCTATTGTCCTAGCCAGCTGCAAGAATACAAGGCCCTCTGGTGCATTGCTTGCATTTCATTGTGCTTTAAAATCTGGCCGCAAACTGGAGAGATCTGCATATATCTCTTTGATTGGTCTTCTAATTAGAACAAAGTCACATCACATGATTTTGGAAATTGTTGAAGAAATGCTTCAAATTGGCATTAGCTTTGGAACATATCTCCTTTGTCTCTTGATATACCAGCTTGGATGTGCTGGGTTTTCTGATTCTGCTGCAAAGATTTTTACTGCTTTACCTGCAGATCACAACTGTTCAACTTACACTGCTTTGATGAACGCTTTTTTTCAGGCTGGTGACGTTGAGAACAGTCTTCAGCTTTATTCAAGAATGAAAAAAGAAGGCATTCCTGCTTCATGTGGTACCTATGAAGTTCTAATAGCTGGGCTAGAAAGAGCTGGTAGGATTCATGATGTCAGCATTTATCAAAAGGAGAAAAGGAATTTGCAATGGCATGGCTTTCCCCCACCTATAATTTCGACAGATGAGATTTTCTGTAATCGTTTCTTTGGCTCATCCATATTTTAGATCTCATGCTCAACCCAGTATTGTGAGAGGTGAATTATCGTGCCCGATGGGCATTTCAGCAGCAGGTTGCGCTGTTTTTGCATTGATTTAAGTTTCGTTTGGGACGGCTTTTTTACTGCTTCTTAAAGCAGCTTTCTAATATAAAAATTTTAATTTTTAAGCTAGAAAGCTGTTTTAAGAAGCACTAAAAAAATCAGTCCCAAACGAAGCCTTAAATATGATGGAATCTTGATTTTTTGGGAGTTAAAAAATTCTAAGAGTGGCTTCTTGCTGAGGATAATAAGGAATTCTTACTCATTTCATACATGAATCAATCATTTTATCGTCTCATAGGATTATGCTGGAGTCATATCCACAACTTACAAGAAAAGAGAAAGATCAATGAACATACGAGTTTCTGCTGCAGCTTAGTGGATATTGTTCAAATTCTAGAACAGCTTGTATTGTTTCCTTTGCCGATTCAGCACACCAGCTTTTGAGAGACCGCTATACTTCTAAGAGGTGAATTGAAGGTTTGGAAGCTTGATATAATTCTAAACTAAGTTGATGTGATGCATCCTTTTCATTTGCTGGAAGCACTCAAACAGATTCTTTTGGTTGGCTAACTTTTATAAAGCATAAACAAACAGAAGGTTGTTTTACAATTAGCTGCTTCTATTTGGGTTAAAATGGCTCAGGTCATGCTCCAGCTCTTTTTTTGCACAGTATACATTTTCCACTGGACCGATGCATTGAAGATAGTTTTTTCGTTGAGACCACATTTTTGTGAGAATGTTTATGAGAAGGATGCAAGCATGACATTTCCATTTGAGGTTCCTATCTTCGTTAAGCAAAAGGTACATGTTTCTAAGTTCAATTTGAAGCTGCCTCAAGCTGTAACTCTTGAATTTTAAAAATAAATTTGAAAAATTTTCTTGTTGAAACATATGCACCATAATAATAATAATAATAATATATATATTAATTATAATATATTATATATATATATATATTACATATTAAAGAGATGAATTCACAATATATGACTCAGTAGTTGTTATTTATATTTATGTGTTATTATTGTTTTTGTTAAAAGTTTTACCATGATCCATGCCGACCACCACCCAGTGATTCAAAATTAAAAAAATATAAAAATAAGATTTGGAGTATGATTGGATTGCATAACCTGACACAAACAGACCAGGCCTTTATATATATATTATATATATATATATATATATATATATATATATAATATATATAATATATTATATATTTTTTGGGTCAAAATAGTTTTTAATTAGATCATCGTAAACTTGAAAACAATTCGAAATGCTTTAGAACTGAAGTCTTGTCCAACTCAAATCAATTTAAGCCTATTTTGATTCAACTAAAAAAATTGAGTGAGTTTCTATTATTTTTTTTGTTGGGGAAACAAGGTGTGCTTTAAACAGGCGTAATTAGCTTTGATGGCAGCCCCAAACCTATCATTGATATAGGCTTGTTCAATCCATGATGGGATTTGTGGGTTAGTTAAATGGTGTGTTAACCCATTTAGCATTCCTACATGTATGCAATGCCTTGGTTTCTATGGTACTCTTCTAAAAATCACTCATGATTTGAACTTTGATCTGCAATTATAGTTGTTTCCATAAGAGGATTGATACGCCTTAGGTTTCACAAATTAGGGTTTGCCCTAATTTCCTTCAAGGATGAAATTTCTCCACCAAATCAAAGTTAACCCAAAACAAGAAGAATGAGAGGAAAACAAAAGAGCTTTGCATTAATCTTCAAGACAAAACAAAAGACAAAGCTAGCCACTTCGAGAAGGACCACATCTCCCAAAGAAACCCTAGAGAAAACAAGAAGAAAAAGAAAGAACTTTCTTCACATGATACCAAAAAATGAACCCTAAGCCTCCCTTCATACACCCACATCCCAACACATCCAAATTACCCTCCCAATTTTGTCTTTGATGCTTTTTTCTTTTATTATTTTATTTCTTTTTCTCTTTGTTTTATTTTTCTTTTTTGTCTTTTCTTATGTAGGAGTGCGGATGGGGTGAAATGTGTTTAGTCGTTTTTCAAATCTTTTTTATGATTTTTTTTTTTTTTTCTTTATTTCTCTATTATTGATGAAGATTTATTATTTCTTTTCTGGAGCTCCTTTCTTTTTGTTACCTCCAATCACCCTCCATTACTCCTCTAAAGAACTTTCCGCCCCCCTCCTTAGCCGTTGGATCAAAAGGTGGGCCCATAGGGCCCACCGTGGCTGCCTCCCCTGCTTCCTTCGGGAATGTCCGCCCGCCCCCTCTCCGCCTGTAGACCCGCGTGGGTCTGGGCGGATGGACCGGGTGAACCGGTCCATCCAAAGCCGGTCCAACAGAATGATAATTCTCATTCTTTTTTGAAGCTACACCCTGATGCGCCTTGGAAGTAAAAACAACAAACAAAAGAGAAGAAAAGTGTAGGAACACAAAGATAATGGTTATTTTTTTATTTCTTCTTAAAAATAAAGCAAGATCTACTATTCGAGAGGTAGATCAACTCTCCCACAAACCCTAGACACCGCTAGGAACTTATAACAAACACTAGGAAAATAAACTCAACAATATCATCATACTCAACCTTAATCAAAACTCCCGCCTTAAATAGCCCTAGCCATAATAACACAAATAGAACCTTTCTAAACAATTAAATATATTTTAAAAAACCTTCCTAAATAATTAAACATAATTTAGGAAATCTTAAACAATTAAACACTTCCTAAATATTATAAACACAATTAGGAAACTTTTCTAAACAACTCTCCATTGATTAGGTATTAGCATGTAACGGTTATATTGGTCTCTTTATGTTTTGTATTTACTTCTTTACCATGTAACCGGTCTATTAATAGACATCTTTGTTAACTTTCCTGAATTAATGAAACACATTCTCTCTTTTCATTTCTCTGTCTCGGCCTTCATCCTCTCTCCGTTTCCTACCTGCTCTCATGGTATCAAGAGCCACTAGGGAAGATCAAGATCCCATGGACTCTTCTAACCCCGCCTCCTCCTCTACCGCCTCCACCCACACCAACAGCACCGGTACGATAACCAGCATCCCACCCAATCTGAAATTTCTTGTCTCCAACATCAAGAACCTCGCTCCACATCCCCTCACACCCGAAAACTACCACCTATGGAGCGTTCAACTCCTCAAACAATTCACAGCGAATGGATTCGCCGGTCATCTTCTCTGCACTGTCCAGGCTCCTCTAGACAGCACCTCCGCGGACTATGCCCAATGGCTGGTCGTTGACAGCAACCTTCTTTCAGCCCTCTTCTGCATTGTTTCTCAAACCATCTTACCCTATATCATCTCTTCGTCCATCACCCACGAGGCCTGGACGGTTCTTGAACGGCGTCTTCAACCGACAAGTCGCTCCCGCGTGATTCAGCTCAAGAACGAGCTATATCGCACACAAATGAAGGACCTCACGGTACAACAGTATCTTACACGCATCAAGACTATCGTGGACAACATCTCCGCGTCTGGTTCCAAGATTGAATCCGAAGACGTCATGCTTCACATCCTCAACGGTCTACCACCAACCTACAACTCATTCAAGTCCACCATACGCAATTCGCTGCTACCAATCGATCTTGACACCTTATACGCCCTTCTCTGCAACAAAGAAATACATCTTCAGCAAGAAAATCAACAAGATCAACCCCAACCCACTGCTCTATATGCAGCCTCGGCTAACTCCACAAGAAACCGTAATAACAACAATCGTCGCTTCAACAAACCCAAGACTCAGATGCCAACTCAATCCATCACCGCCTGCCCGACCAATGCCCCCGCCCCGCAGTCCGGTCCCAAACCCATCTGCCAGATTTGCGGCAAACCAGGTCACATTGCGCTCAATTGCTGGCACCGCAACCATCCCAAGTACGCACCCACCGACACTCGTCAACCGCGGGCCCTATATGCCAACCCGACTGCTCAAGTGAGTCAAGACTGGATTCTTGACTCCGGCGCCTCTACTCACCTCACGTCGGACGCCTCCCATCTCCAATATCCAACCCCCTATCACGGCGCAGATATGATTTCTACCGCTAACGGAAATTCCATCCCCATCACCAGCGCTGGACAAGGCCTCCTTCCCTTACCCGACTCATCCCGTAAGTTGCACCTCTCAAATCTCCTACACGTTCCATCACTCACACACAACCTTCTTTCGATCTCCAAACTCACCTCTGACAACTTCATTTCTATTTCATTCGACTCTAACGGCTTTGTCATCAAGGACTTACAGGACCACCGTCCGCTGCTTCATGGTCACCTTCGGAACGGTCAGTACCATATTAGGAAAGCACCGGTCGACAAGCACACGGCGCTCACTACCACCACATCCTCGCCACACGTTTGGCACTCTCGCCTTGGTCATCCCAGCAAAGACACCATCCAAGTTCTTGCTCGATCTTTTCCCGAAATTACCAATGTACCTAGCACTTTTGTTTGCAATTATTGTAACCAGGCCAAGAGCCACAAACTTTTCTTTAATAAAAGAATGTCTGTTACTCATGCCGCTTTCGATCTTATTCACACTGATGTCTGGGGTCCGGCTCCGCACCCATCTCCGGACGATCACCGTTACTATATAACCTTTATCGACGACTACACCAGATTTTCTTGGTTGTATCTTCTACACTCTAAACATGAAGTTCTTAACACATTTAAAAACTTTTGTCACCTCGCCAAGACTCAATTTAACAAAACACCTAAAATACTACGCTCGGACGGCGGAGGAGAATACACTAGCAATGAATTTCATCTCTATCTCCAAAACAACGGCATTCTTCACCACCTCACCTGTCCGCACACGCTTGAACAAAACGGTCTCGCAGAACAAAAACACCGTCACCTTCTAGACCTCACTCGCGCTCTTCTAATCGAATCCGGGCTACCTCCCAAATTCTGGACCTCCGCCCTATCCACTGCTCATTACCTCATTAACAAACTCCCATCCAAGTCCATATCCAACAAAATACCGTACCAATTGATGCACGGTCACTCGCTGATCTACACTCACTTGCGCACTTTCGGATGCCTCTGCTACCCGTGGCTGAAACCCTACTCCACAGACAAACTATCACCACGATCTCACCCCTGCATCTTCACTGGATATTCACTTCAACACAAAGGCTACCTTTGTCATGATACCGCCACTGGACGCACCTACATATCCCGTCACGTCACTTTCTATGAACAACATTACCCGCTCAAACTCCCGCACACAATCACCCCCACGGCTTCGCACGCCAATCACTCAAGAATTCCTCCCCTACTTCTCACTCCCTATACAGAGACACACACACACTCCCCTCCCGCGTCTCAACCTATCCCCAATACCACAGTAATTCCTGGGACTCACTCATCCACGGATTCCATTTCTGTTATTCCCAATACCCCTCCCGCTTCGCCTAACCAATTCCAGCGTACGCCTACTGCCAAACCCACCGCCCCTGCCCACCCGATGCAAACGCGCCTCAAGTCCGGGATCATCAAACCAAAACCTGTGTTCAACCTCTTAACCCAACTCACACCAACTGAGCTCCCCAACACTTACCTTCAAGTACTGAAATCTGATCACTGGCGGTCAGCAATGCAGGCCGAATATGACGCCCTCCAACAACAATCAACCTGGACTCTTGTCCCTCCTCCATCCAACAAACCCATACTTGGATGCAAATGGACATACAAGATCAAAACTCTTCCCAACGGCCAAATCGAACGCTACAAGCACTCGGGTACGATCAAAAATTTGGCATCAACTACAATGAGACCTTCAGCCCCGTCGCGAAGATGCCCACTATCCGCCTGCTGCTCATTCTGTCTCTCCACCGTCAATGGCCCGTATACCAGCTCGACATCTCCAATGCCTTCCTTCACGGTGCCTTGCCCGACGACATCTACATGAGACAACCTCCAGGTTTCACCGATCAGACACAACCTCACTCGGTCTGCAAACTTCAAAAGTCCCTCTACGGACTCAAACAAGCTCCGCGGCAATGGTTCCAAAAACTCACAGACTTCCTACAACATCAAGGTTTCGGGTTCAGTCGTTCCGACCCCTCACTCCTCATTTATCACAAAAACAGCATTCGTCTTTACATACTCATCTATGTTGATGATTTCTTGGTGACAGGGAACGACGAAGACGCCATCCGATCCCTTCTCAAACAACTACGCGCTCAGTTCGCCCTCAAACAGCTCGGCAACATCTCCCTCTTCCTCGGAATTCAGGTGACTCACTCTCCCACTGGTTTCTTTTTATCCCAAGAACACTATGCTACGAAATTACTCAACGATGCAGGTTACAAGGATTGCAAATCAGCCCCAACAATGCTCACTCCTGACAAGAAGAAGAAGGAGCCCAACCTCCAACCGCTCAAGGATCCGTCGCTCTACCGGCGTCTAGCCGGGTCCTTACAATACCTCTCCATCACAAGGTCGGACATCGCCTTCGCCACCAACCGCATCTGCCAACACATGCAGTCTCCCACCGAACACAACTTCAAAGCCTTGACACGCCTACTGAGATACATCAAGGGGACTACCTCATTCGGACTGCCCATCACAACCGGGACACTAGAACTACGGGCCTTCTCAGACGCCGACCGGGCGTCAGATATCACTGATCGCAAGTCCGTCTTGGGCTTCTGCACATTCCTCGGGACAAACCTCATTTCATGGACAGTCAATAAGCAGGCAACCGTCACAAAGTCCTCCACCGAAGCGGAGTACAGATCCCTCTCCGCAGCCGCCTCGGATGTGCTTTGGCTTCGTCGTCTCACGACCGAGCTGGACATGCCTCAATCCTCCCCGACCACAATCTACTGTGACAACACCTCGGCAATGGCCATCGCCAAAAACCCGGTGTTTCACGCTAGAACGAAACACATCGAGATTGACTATCATTTTATTCGTCAGCAAATAAGCACCGGCAACATTCAGCTGGCACACATCTCTTCCAAAAATCAGATTGCGGACATCCTCACCAAACCTTTCTCGATTGCTCGATTCCACGAATTACGCAACAAGTTAACCACTCGGACACCGAACGCTTAACTTGAGGGAGGCTATTAGCATGTAACGGTTATATTGGTCTCTTTATGTTCTGTATTTACTTCTTTACCCTGTAACCGGTCTATTAATAGACATCTCTGTTAACTTTCCTGAATTAATGAAACACATTCTCTCTTTTCATTTCTCTGTCTCGGCCTTCATCCTCTCTCCGTTTCCTACCTGCTCTCATTAGGAACATTCCTTAATAATTTTATCTTAGAAACTTTTCTAAACACCCCCTTGATTAGGAACCTTCCTAAACAGCTCCTCTTGATTAGGAACCTTCCTAAATAGTTTCCCCTTGATTCCTACTCCTTACAACATCAAATGTACTAGTAGTACAAGTATCCCAACCAAGTGCAGTATTACACCTAAATGGAAGTTGGTTGTTTTCTTGAGCAACTGCAGAATGAGGCACATTCGAATCTACAGTTGTAACAGACACATCCAAAGGAAGGCTTTGAAATTGTTCAGTTGCAGTTGAGAGTCGAATAGATTGGGGAGATATATGTGGAATAGGTAGTTAGTGGCATGGAACTGATGTCTCGGTAGATGACTGGATGGGCCTAAGATTGAACAAGGAAAAAGGTGAATTTACTATTTTAACAGCTGATCTAGAAGACAAATGTTGTGCAATAGTTGGTACGTAGGCTACTTATTGTTGACCATAAACAATTTGATTGCTGGTATCAACCTTGTTCACATTCACTGTAGAAGCTTCTGAACTGTGCGTCCAGTCAGGCTGCTTTTCAGCTTGTAGTATGCAATTTGGTGACCAAGAAACAACCTTTTTGGATTTTAGCACCGAATCCCTTCTACTGGATTCAATCCCAGATCCCCTGGGCCCCACAAGGTGCCCCCATATCACACCCTTCCTTCAGGATAAGATATGTGATGGATCAACTACTTGATGCATTTAGATTTTTCTGCTTAAATTTTGTTATGAACTATATTTGTTATGATATGTGATGGATCAACTACTTAATTTTTATTTTCTTCTCTAATATTTGTGCATACTACATGACTAGTAGTCCTTGATAACTTTCCCTGCTTAATGATATATATATTTTTTATTCTTCATATATGATGTTACTCTTAATGGATGAAATAAATAGGCTCCCTCTAGAGCTAGTCATTTTTCGGTGATTCTTCTTTTCATCCTCACTCCCCACTATAATTCTTTTATACTTTTCACTAGTTCTTGTTAACGGCGCTTGTAACTTCTCACTTACAAGCTTCTTCTGTAGAATGCTTATCGATACATCATATTCACACACTCTTGATTCATGCTATATTTTCCTCTAAGTTTCTATTTGGTCACTCAATCTCACGAGCATATTATTAAATTTTAAGTATTTTTGCATCACTTTTTTATTTATATCATTTACATTTTTTTATTATTTTAGACTGAAAAAAATTAGAACTGTTAGACTTTAGAAAATTGGGGTTGTCTATTATTTATCTTGTATAGGCTTCTTTGAATTCAAATCATTTGAGTTTCTTTTTTTCCCAAATTTTACCAAGCAAGATTTTTCATCTTTTTTCATAAATGAGCTCCATAAAAACATTCTACAGTAAGACAAAAAGGTGGTCGAGATTGATCATTCATATTATTCTCAACATTATTAATCATGTATTGAAGAACATAACATTTGTACTCCTGCACAGTATTGTGAAAAACACGCTTTAGGAGCAAAGCGAAACGATTCGCTTGCCCTGCATATTGCTTGATTGTGAAGTGCAAGCTCACAAAAAAATGAGCATATGACACCACTTCACCTAGTAGCGTCGTAGCAGTATACGCTTGATTCTTGCTCATAGAAAAATCTTGGTTTAATTTCATGATTTGATTTAGCTTTTGCCAGAATAATTAGACTCATTGTTTGCTCCTCATTATTTATCTTAATAATGGAGTTTTTGGTTATCAGTTCTCCATTCTCTTGCTAGTAATTTTTTTGCTGTTCTTCTCTTCATCCTCACTCCCCATTATAGTTTTTATGTACTTTTTCACTAGTTCTTGTTACTGGCGCTAGTAACTTCTCACTCACAAGCTTTTTCTCGAGAATGCTTGTCGATGCCTCTTATTCACACTCTCTTGCTTATATTTGCCTCTTAGTCTTTATTTGGTCACTCAATCTCACACATATATTCTTAATTTTTAAGTATTTTTACATCAGGTAGTTATTTATATTATTTATATTTTTTATTCTTTTTTTGTTTTAGAATTATTTGAAATTACTATTATTGAATTTATCGTTATATTTGCTAAAAATTTATTACTTGGTGTGGTTTATGTTTAGTTAAGTAAATAAATATTAAATGCACATAATCTATGGATGTATAATATCCAACACTTGAGCGCTCTATTTAGTAAAAACGTCGTTTTGCTTTATGTTTTATGTATTGAAGAAAAAAATGTTTGTGCATTGCATCACGGTTAACGCTTTGGAAACATTGCTTTTTTTGAAACAGAACCAAAGAAGTTCCTTTAATGTCGAAGATATGCTGTAACCTTACCTATATTCTGTAGTATGTAGAAACCTTTTGAAAAGTAACAGGAAAGTTCATGAGTAAGCTTGATTTCCTAGAGAAAACAGGAAATGTCATGAAGCTGATAGACTGAGCTAAATTCCCTAGCAGTATCAAGAAGCATAGCTGTTTGTGTATTTTTAAGTAGTTGGAGAAAATGCATCCAGTGGATTCGCTATTTTATTCTTATAAGAAATGGTTGGTTAACATGGGACAATGTTTATCCTTGCCTTCTAGTTTTGAAAGTGGATTTGCCTCTTCAGATCTTTGTTTATTTCCGTAAAGTATTTCAGAAAAGATGAATCTATCCCAAAGGAGGAACCCAAAGATGTCTGTGATGATTGACTTAGTAGTTTAGCTTAGGGCAACACGTTGAAAAGGATTTAGGAATTTTTATGTATGGGTAAAATGTCCTATTTTTAAGAACAAAGGTGATGTCCAAGATTGTGTGAATTATAGAGGAATTAAGTTAATGTGTCATACTTTAAAACTATGTGATAGGGACATCAGATTTCGACACGTGTACCATCGCCGACGGCGCAGATCGACGGCTACGATCCAGAGCCTCTACTTTTGAGTTATTTACAGCTTACGTCATGTGTTCTTTTCTTAGTTTTTCTAGTTTGCCCCTGAGGGCATTGTTTGACTTATGTAGCCCCGAGGGCGTTTATGTCTTTTCTTTTCTTTTAGTTTGAGCCTCCTTATATGAGGCATTATGCATTGTAATCTTTTAGTTTTTTGGATGAAATGAAAATTTTAGTTTCGTTTTCTCTTTGTGAGTGCAACGTCTCTCTCAAATCTCTTAGTGAGTTTTGAGAGGAGCTATATCTCTTTGTGAGTTCTAGGCCTTCTCTTAACTTGTTTTGTAGTCAAGTGGTGTGAGCTCACAGGAATTCCATTCGGATCATCATCTTCCCCTCAAAATTCCGCTGCCCCCACGTGGTTCAACCGCCGATTGGCAGCTGCCCCGCCTCCAGCCGACCCGCCGTCTGGCCACCGCCCTCCCCTCTCCACCCAGGCCACGGATTGATTCCCCACGGCCAGCCCCAGGCGTCCCTGGCCGAGCCGCGCCACCATCCTGGCCGGCCGCCGATTCCAGGCGGCCGAATCTCGAGCACGGGCTGTCCCGCCGCCTCCCTCCCTGAGAATTCCCCTGCCAGGATTTCAAAATTGCTGAAATCAGTTACTTTCTAATTAGTGCCTATCTAATTAAGAGAGTCAATCAAGGAGATTTATAAGTCTATTTCAAATCTCAAAATTGTGTCCTCTTGCTTGAATTTAAATTGGAGGAAGTTACCTTAATTTATTAAATTCTGAAATTTACTCAGTATTTAATTAAGTTACTTAATCTTGTGGCCCCAATTGTTTATCTTTCCAAAACCCCCATCTCTCTCTACATGGCCGGCCACCTCTCTCTCTTCCCTATTAATCCTCTAATTGCTCCTTGATTCCTTTCCCTCATAATTTTAATGTCAAATCAAAATCAATTGAAATTAAAATTAAATCCAGATTTTAAGTCTTCCTCCCATACCATCCCACCCGCCCAAGCCTCTCTTCCAACCCGTGACTCGGCTCCCCCCCCCTTGCTCACGGTTTGCACCTTGCCTCCCCTCTTTGGTTTCGTCGTTACTACCACCATGCATGGATGAACCCGAATGGAATTTCAGATTTGAATAACGACCACAAACGGACGAGTCGACATCCTCCATTCGCCCTTCTTCGACGTTGGATTTGACTTTGACGGACACCCCCGAGAGTACTTTGGACTGGATACTTACCACCCTCGTGGACTCCATCGACAATCATTTTCTCGTCTACACGTGAATCATTCGAAAAGCCGTCCCCCGCTCCTCCGAAAACCGGCCTCCTTGCCCGGCGACAAGTCCTCTCAAGATCACTTGTCTACTAGTGGCGTCGCTAAGTCTGCTCACGGTTCTCTTCCGCTAGCCTCCACTTTAAATTTGAGTGACGGATCTTAAGGTGAAGGATCTAGATTTTAACTTTGGGGCTTTTGTTTATTTCTAGCTATTGGCATTATTTAAAATTTTGATGCTATTTTGTGAGATTCTTCAATTCTCTACTTGTAACGAATTGTCATTATATTAATCTTCAATGTCCTATTCTTTAATTAGCAACGCGAAATCAATAATTTTATTAACTTCTCATGTGCAATTCTTATTTCATCGCATGATTGATTCACATCACTATGGGAGAGAATTATGGAGCATAGGTTGCGGCGTGATACTAATGTTTCTCAAAATCAATTTGGATTCATGCCGGGTAGAACTACTATGGAAGCTATACATTTATTGAGAGTTTGATGGAGAAATATAGAGAGAATAAGGGGATCTACATATGATATTTATTGATTTAGAGAACATATATGATAAAGTTCTAAGAGAAGTGCTATGGAGAGTTCTAGAAAAGAAAGGGGTTAATAATGTTTATATTCAAGTCATATATATGCAGGAGTTATTACTTGTGTTCATGTTGGCTCAAGAAAAATGGCGTGTTGGCATGAATCCCGCTTTACAGATAGAGGATTCATTCTCCTTAAATCAGATTGTTGTTAACAATATTTTCTCTGAGAGTAGTGTCAGGGTTTAGTTAGATCTAGGTTCTTACTTCCCATGAGCGCAATCACTCATAGTTAATTATCCCTTTTAACGCATAAGAGAGAACTATCGATTAAGGATGAATACTTTTTAGGTATTTTAGTCTCAGTTATGGGGGAAAATAGAGCTAAACCCAATCAAGATCTCATTTTTCCATCGTCCTGGGTATGCCTTATGTTTCAATCTAACAACTGTTGATCGTAGTATCCAGGGAATCTAATTAGCAGTTATGGGTTGCCTTCTCTTAAGGATCCCGTGTAAACTGAAATGGTTAGATGGAAGTTTTAGTTTTATTGGGTTTTGGGGTTTACATCTATTAGTATACCCAATAATTGATTTAGTTTGGGGAGTTATAACTTCATTTAGAAGTTGTCAGTTTAATTGAATTGGTTCGGGGCTTACGACTTCCATTAGAAGTAGCCTGAGTGTTTTAGAAGTGGGTTCTTGTTAGATCGGTCCATTGGACTGGTCCAGCCGGTCCATACGAGACCGGCTCACGTGTAACAGAGGTGGAGAAGTTCCACCTCCTTCTCGTGCCACTCAAACCACAAAGTCCAAAGGTTCTGATTAGGAATGATTTATGAAGAGTTTAGGAGGAAAATTTGAAAGTAGGGTATGTTTAGAGATTTTCTTTTGGATTGTATGCATTAAATAATTTGTTTTCCTAGGGTTGGGCCATCTTGAATTTGGCTGAAATTTTTTATATCTCTTTGGTACTTGGGCTCTAGCCGCCAACTAGGAATTGGGAGGGCCGGATCTTCCTCTCGGATTGAAGATCCATTATATCTTGCTTGCCTGTGTTCGTCTTTCATCAAATAAAAACTGTTTCGTTGTTGTTCGTCTTCTTCTTAAAAATTGTTTGCTCACAAGTCACTTAAATGAGAGGATCACCTCTTTTAATTGTTATATTAAACATAAAAAATTAGGGTTGAGCGCATTGTTGCTATTATTTAACTTTGAACACAATCTTAATTGGAATGTGTTAATCTTTGATTCTGCTGTAGTCCGTTTCCTGTTAAATTTGAATCATGAGGCTGAGATTAAACCACGCCATTTAAAAAAAATGAATATATGCATGTGTTGAAAAAAGTATTCATTTGCTTATACCCTCTTCATTTTGTTTCAATAATTTACCTTTAGATGAATAAGCTATCATTAAATTATAGTTAATAAATAAATAAATAGTTCGCCCTTATTTGTATCAGAACAGGCTAGCATTAAATTATATTTAATGATGGGAAACAATCAAACAAGGGTAAATGGTTACACGACCTGAAGGAATCATAGCGTATACAGGAAACCATTAGTAACTGGGCATTGTACATGTGCAATATTTTTTGGTTTAATCTATTTGGGATGACTGAAATTAACTTCAGAAGTAATGATAGAACTACTACGAGAAAGTAGATTTTTAAAAAGTTGTGAATATTATAAATTCTTTCTCTTAAAAAAAGTACAATAATTTCCTTACAATTATTATGGTTTTGTCACATGAAATGTCGGCCTTCTGATAATCCGATTAGAAGAGTAAATGCATTAGATTTGGCCTATATTTAGGATGATAGAGGTAGACTTCAAAAGGCTTGATTGGAAAATATTAGAAATAACATTTTTTATTAGATTTAAATGAGAATTTGACTCTTACCAAGACATAATGAAGAAAAATGATTCATGTAACCGATCCCACATAGTGGGATAAAGACTTGATCTTTTTGTATAATATTTGAGTAGATTTAAGCTTCTTTTGGAATGTGCTTCTTAAAGCAGCTTTCTAGCAAAAAAAATTAATTTTTTTTTACTGAAAAGTTGCTTTAAGAAGCAGTAAGAAAGCCGTCTCAAATGAAGTTTTAGTTTAAAATAACAGCTTCTCATCATAGAAGTTTTAAAAAATGCAACAAATAGAATATAGCCAAGCAGAACTTCTGAAAAAATAATAGTAATGAAAGATTCTAAATTAAGCATAATTTTATTAGCTAAAAGCTGTGCTGGAGCTATATTATCTTGTCATTTTCTAACAAATATTGTACTTAAGCAGGTACAATGACACCATAAGTATACATTATAGGTTTCCTTTTGCATTGTGGCATTTATAGTAAACTTTGTGAACAAGTTGCATAATAACCATTGGTTAAACAAACTGCTTATTAAATCCTAATAAAAGCAAGGACTTACTGAGCCCTTCTGTATCTTTTCATGGGGGTCTCAAGCCTTGAAAAGATCAACCATGTACGTGTGCACGTGTGCACATGTGCAATTGTGTGCATGCGGCCTGCTGCACGTGTTTGCATGTGCCCTTATGCTGTATTGGCACACATGTGCTGCAGCTTTGAAGTTTGCGCAAATTGTTACAGAAGAACTTAAGAAGATGAAGAAGAAGGGAAATATTAGATAAGGCCCCTTCTCTGGTTTTTTGTTCTGTAGGAGGTACTCATTCTGCCTGAGTAGGAGAAAGCCTTAGGCCCTTAACCGATGAGTTGGCAGTGAATGGGGAGAATGGGAACATGGTGATGTTGCTTCTGTATCTATTATAATATCATCCATTATGATGGAGTGAGGAGAAGCAGAAATAATAATATTTTTTTCTCTGAGTTTTGCACTTTCAGAAGATTATAATTAGTTCCTCTGGTCATTGTGTTTTGTAGAGACATTAAATAATTAATGGATAGAGAGAGAGAGAGAGGGAGATGGGTGAACATTCCAAGCTTTCACATGATCTCTCTTTTATATTACTTTCTCTCTCTTTATTGGGAGAGCAGTATAGCAGACAGAACTAGAACTAGAAAAACCTTTACTTCGCTGAGATATTCTGAGATTTTTCTTTGGCATTTAGATTTCCATATGACACCAAACCTGTATTCTGCTTAGGTTCATCAAAATATAGAATCAAGTTTTATTTCAATAGTCATTCTGAAATATAAGACACAAATAGTAAGTTATTTGTTCTCTATTCCACACCCAACATTTACTTATTGTTTCTTTGAATTTTCCGGAAGAGAGAAATTAGAGGCCAGCTCATGAGTACTCTAAAGGGTATCTTCTTAGCCATTATTAACTGCGTCATGCTTGAGTATGGGTAACCTCAAAATGCCTCTTGCAATCGAGAGATTATTTTGTGCGGACACTGGATACAACTTATCGTTCAGAGGCCAATCAGGTGCAACTACGTCATCCAGTACCAAGCTCAGTACCGAGCCGCGGTACTGAGTAGGGGTGACGTGGCGCATTTTTATTGAGCTCTGGACGGCATTCGGTGTCCGCACCTAATAATTTCACCTTGCAATCATCTTGCTGCAGAAACAAATGAAGCCTGAACCAGAGTTCCATGAAAGTAATCTCTGCATATCTGTTGCATTAATGGTAGATATAAAACTATGTTGTCACAGGACAACCTGGTCATGGACGTGACAACTACACTCTGATCTTGTCACTTTGCCAGCTCATACCCTACTTTCTACCAGGTAAATTTAGCAGCATTTGATTTTTCTTTTATAAAATTATAGCAGCTGTGTAATAATTTCTCTTTCATTTGAGCTTAAGGTTTAGGCTTCATTTGGGACGGCTTTTTTATTATTTTTTAAAACAATTTTTTAATTAAAAAATTAATTTTTTTTACTGTAAGAAACAATAAAAAAGTCAATCCAGACAAAGCCTTAGTTAAGCTTGAGAATAAGGAAGTAGTTAGCATTCATAGGTAACATTTTTGTTCATAAGTCTTCTTGCTTATCATTATATATGTTGTATTGTATGGAGGTAGGTAAGTTATTTAAAATTATAAGAGAGAATTGGACACTCAGCTGTGGCTGAGTTTGAATATGAACAGAACCAAGAAACGTCAATTTGTTACCTCCATTCATGACAAAAGAACTAGACAAAAGAGAAAGCAGGAGCTTTTTGCCTCATTTCTTTTCTTGCTGTGGATTTTTCCTACTGGATCAACAGGCGAAAAAGTGGGGACTGAATAAAAGAAAAGAGAAAGAAAAGAACATTGATAATGAAAAATTAATAAAAAAACTTAGAAGAGTCCATAGAGGGATCTTGAAGATTTGTACACATCTTCTTTGCCTTTCTTCAGTTCAGTTTCTTCTCACCTTCTTGTCTGCATACCTATTGACAAAAATTTGAACAAAATGCTGTAGTGGGTGTTTATTCTCTAGTTGTTAAGCATATACAAAGAGAGAATACTTACCTGCAGAAGAATGCAGGTAAGCCAAATGCTTCGGCAATGCAGTTTTCCCCTGTTTAAGATGGATAAGAGATCAAAAAATTCATTTAACTAAAGCTAAGAATGCAGAGAAAGCCATGAAAGGTTTATGGTACAGTGAAATGGGTTGTGGAGAAGCAGCAGGAGTGATCATCTTCCATCAAAAGCTTCTTGCTTCCACAGCTACTTGTTGTGGCCTATTCAAAGAGGAAATGAAGAAGAAGAAGAAGAGTAAGTTTATGTTCCCTCAAAAAACTAGAGAAGTTTATGAGAGTTGAGTTAGTATATTGCCTTGGAAAAGGTGGAGAGAGTAGAACTGGCAGTGTCATCCAAAAAGGAATCTCGTTTTCCCTGCTGCTCTTCTTCAGCCCTCCTCCTCTTTATTCTATTCCTGGCAACTGTAGTTAAGGGAAGGAAAGTGGCATTGCAGAGGCAGCCATTTCCATCCTCACAGCAGCCTGAGGATATGTTGTCTTCTTCCTCATGGACTTGGGGTGGCCCAGAAGAAGCATCAGAGAGCATGGACAAGTCCTCCTCCTCCTCCTCCTCTTCTTCTTCTTCTTCTTCTTCCTCCCAACAATCACAGTCATCTGTTCTTAGTTGAAAAGATCCGGTCAATCTCTCCTGAGACTGCGACTGGTCAAGATAGAGAGTCCAGCCAGATTGACACCCACTGCAGCATTCCGAGTCAGCTCTCTCTTTATCAACCATGAACTCCAAGTCGCTAACTTTCTTCATCCTCGGTACTGGTTGATGAAATGGGATTGGGAAGGAAGTAGTAGGAGAAGGTAGGGATGGCAGAAAAAATGAATAGAATCGCACTCAAATCCCAGACTAATCTTGTCCTTTACTCATTCCTTCCTGAAATTAAAACTGCCAGTTTGGCATTAGGAGCTTCGTTGGTGACAGGGATGAGAGAGAGAGAGAGGCCTCTGTCTCTACAATGTGTACATATTAGAGAGGAGAAGGAGAGAGAGAAGAGCTCCAGCTCCAGCTCCACCTCCACCACATGCAATACAGCGAGGCAGGGCATACGCCCTACACCTTCATTATGTCCTATGGAATCTGGGGAGTTGATCCTTCTAAATAGAGGTGTCAATATTTGATCCGATTCGAAAATTTCGGATTCGGGTCAAGTCGAACCTGAACCGGGTCTGATTCAGGTTAGGAATTTCGACCCGTTTGCAAAACCGGATTGGGTTCAGGTTGACCCGGAACCCCGAAATCAACCCGTTTTTTACCCCTTTTAAAGTAATTTAGGAGGGTTTTAAAAGATTATTATGAAATAAGTAAATGATATTTAAAAAAAATAAATATTGTTGCCCAAATTAAATTAAACTTGATTTATTTTAATTTCATTGAAGTAAATCTTGTCTTAATTTGATTTATGTTTAAATAAATCAAATTAAATAAAAAAATAATAAAATATATACGAAACGGGTTGGATTCGGGTTGGGAAAATCGACTTGTTTGCAAAAACGGGTCGGATCGAACATTGTCGGATCAATTATATGATCCCGAACCGACCCGTGACCCGATTTTGACAGCGCTACTTCTAAATGTGTGAAAAAAAATCCAATTTTTACAACTTTGAATTCTGATTAGTATTAGTTTTTTTTTTATGATAATTATTCCATTATTATATAAATGTCTTAATTTTTATTTTTCAATAATGTATACATTTTCTCTTCTCTCTCTATCTCTCTCTGAACCATTTCAAGTCTTTTTTATAAGATTTAAAATCCACTGTGCGTGCGGCGGGTGCTGTTACGTGGTGGTTTGTGCGCGCTGGCTCTCTGTCATCGCACATAATTTGCGGCAACATCGCAGCCCCACAGGCGAGCTATGTAGCTTTCTTAACAAATATATATTTCTTACTGTTTGTCAATTCAACTTCCTATGTTGACTGATTATGTATTGTTGTTGGGATGATAGATTCTTTATTTGTTCAACTGTAGGATGATCATCATATTTATTTCGGATTTATTTGAGACAGCTTTCTGATTGCTCAATTCAAAAGCTGTTTTTTTCAATCATACTGATGCAATTTTATATAATATTGCAGTCGTCCTAAATAGACCCTTAGAAGAAAAAAATTATTATTAAATATATTGTAAATTGCCGGCTATCATAATTGGTTGATGCTGGTCATCGCGACCATTGTGTGGCCACCATAATTGCCAACCGCTATTGGCAATGTCATTGCGGCCTTCTGTTACTTTCTTTGCAACACTGATCTTTGTCATTGGTAGCCACTTGCTATCGCTTGTTGTTGTTGTTGCAACCATTGGTAGCAGCTTCATCATCGTCGTTGTTGTGGCTTATATCAATTTATGTTGCTTTAAATGAAACATAAAAATAATATTCTCCATTTTTTGGCACTCAATTAAACAACTTCAAAATATTTTAAATATAATATATTTATCTTACATTGTATTATTTTACTTGGAACTTTTTTGGGTGAATGAAATGTCTATTAAGATATTTTAAATTGTTGTGAGCAATTTGTTAATAAAGGTTAGTGTCAACCCAATAATGAATATTGTAGTTGTTTTTATTCATCTTATTTGGCGAGATTTTCTCCTATTTGTGAGGCAAATAATATTATTTGAGAAATTTTGCTCAATAACCTTCGTTCTAACAACAAATAATTTTACAAAATAGCAAGAAAATCATCTCGAACGAAGTCTTAATTTGGTCACATCATATGTTGAGATTTATTTGTTTGATGATCAACAACTAACACAAAGAGTCAAATGTGACAGTTGGAAGCTAAATGCCTTCACAAAAAGGGAATTGATGATTGGTATAGAGATTGATAACCATTAAGATGATTTGACATAAGAGGTGACAAATTTCTCTCTCTAGTTAGCATAGATGGAGGAATTATACTCAGATTTCAAGAGGAAATGTGTGTAAGGATGAATTATTATGTACGGAAGCCGAATACTGTTTAGAGCCTAATAAAAATGTGTTACGTTACCTACTATTTGGTATCATAGCTTGGTACTGGATGATGTGGCTGCAACTGATTCGCCTCTGGACGGTAAGCTGTGTCCGGTGTCCGCACAGAATAATCTCTCGTGTGTGAGATATATATATTATTGAGATAAAAGTGAACAAAGTAAATATAGTGAGCAAACATTGAATTAAACCTAAATATAATTACGCTTACCTATTTAGAGAGTAGATTGAATGACTTCGAGACTATCTTGTAAGATTAAGGCTTCGTTTGAGGCAACTTTCTTATTGCTTTATTTTTCGTGTCACAATCATAATTTTTGTTTGACTACTGCTTCTTTGCTATTAAAAGAAAAAAAAAATACTAAAAAGTTACTTTCTACAACAACTTTAAAATTTTACTTTCCTTACACTAGCTTTACTAAACTCTAAAAAATTCATCACAAGCGAAGCCTAAATCAGCTCAAGATTAGACCATTAATGGTGCTAACTCTTACACAATGAAGTTCATCTTACTTCCATTGATTTCTTGAATGATGAGAAAGAAAATCACAAGTTTTTGGTGTTATGCTTCTGGTTGTAGGTAGATTTAGTTGATAAATTAATGAGAGCACATGCTGCCATCTCCTTCAAGCTTGTTAGTTTCCCAAAAGAGAAGGCCTCATTAATCATGCACTCATCCTATCCTCTCCATGGCTATTAAGAACTTAAACAATTTAGTGATCCATGTGCACACAAACATTCATGTTTCATGCCTTAATTTAGAAACATATTTTGCAACGTTTTCATGGTGAACTCTAGTCCTACTTGATACTTTTTATGTTACATAAAAATTTGAATTTATTTGCATATTCAATAGTTGAAAACTATATTGATATAAATTTATTTTTTAATTGAAAAAGAGGATTTGATTACTAGTTTATTTGGAGATTTGATTCAATTTTGATCCGCTTTCACTTTGTTCCACGATGAATCTTTAAATTTTGAGCATCTTTTCGCTATAAAATTCAAATGTTGATGTGTCACACAATAGATATATTTGATGAATAAGTCGGTTGTTAGTCTATGACACTAAATAAAAGATTTGAAGTGATTGACAACTATGATGGAGAGCTCTCATGCTTATAAAATAACAAAAAAATTATTCATATTTGTTGAAATATAAAATATGTTTATCATTGTGAAATAATATAAGACTATTAACTAGTAATTTTAGGCCTTTGAATTAAATCAAATAGAGGATAGTAAGAATTAATCATAACATGTTTTATAAAATAATGATAAGATTATTTTAAAATTCAATTAGTTTCAATCAAGAAAGTCTTTGTTGAGCTTTTGGTAACCCTCTAAAAGGTGGGAGAGGAAGAAGAGGATATGAATCTCCTTTACAAGACTCTTTAAAGGGTGTTTGAGCATATTTACCCTTTATGTAATGAGGTGGTAGCTCAAACCATGTGCCATTATATCATTATAAGGGATTTGTCATGAGCCTATTATGAGGGCAAAGGAAGAGAGTGGAGGAAAGGGGAGGCCCATGGCTTGGTTTTTTCTTTCCCCCAAGAGAACACATTTCCCACATGATTGAAAACTTGTGCCCCACTCCCATCTAGCTAGAAGGTAGGTCAAGTTTTTTACTTACCTCATTTTTTGGTTCCTTCCAATGATATGTGATTAATTATTGTGTGATGTATATTCCTCTAATTTGAAATCCTGGCTTAATTATGGCATGGGATATTCACTTATACTCTGAAAGTATTGAATGGATATTTTTATTTTGTATAATTAGTTTGATTGAATGTTTTCTTATGACAAAAATTTATGTTTGTAAAATCACCAGACATTTAATACTTAAGCCTTATAATTTTATTATTTTTTTATAATTTGACAGATGTCCAATCACTCATAGAGATAATTCTATAATTTTTTCAGGAGTGTATATGACTTTAGCCAAGTGGTACTGCCATGAACCTTAAACGTGTAGGTCTAAGATTAGAATATTTATGCCAGAGAGAGAGAGAGAGAGAGAGAGAGAGAGAGAGAGAGAGATGAGTGCCCTTTTGATCGAAGGATCAAACAAAATAGAATATTATAAGTTGTCATAAATTTTAGGAAAAAGATTTTGCTCAATAAACATTAAGAGTAGGATAAATAATTGCTCATAGTTATGCATGTGCCCTCATCTACCCACTCTCATCAAGTCATGAGATATAGATCATATCATCAATCTTGAATTTGCTCAACCCATTTTCATCAAATTTTTTTCAATATATTAAAGATACATCTAATCAAGTCATGAACATGACCTCTCATGAAGCCTATCCCTAAAGCTTTATCATATTCTCCATGCAAAAGGTGGCACTACTAGACTACTATTTCACAATAAAAAAAAAAAAAAAAAAAAAAAAAAAAAAAAAAAAAAAAAAAAAAAAAAAAAACCTAGAGAGCATAGTTGGCCACTTATGTTTGTTGAGAGCTATGACAACTCATAGGGCCCCTCTTCTTAATTGTGCATTGCATTGTCTTATATGTTCATTTCACAGTCCCTTGCTTTAATGTTTTGAGGAACATGCATTAGCTTGCATAAGAGATAACAGTGTAGTTTTGCTATGCCTCAACTTTAAGAGAGATTATTACTTGTTGAGTTTGGACAAGTTCGAAGGCTGATCCGAACGCGCCACATCATCCAATGCATTGTGTACTGGGTGGCGTGGTGTGTTCGAATTGACCTTCGAATCCGTCCATACACCACGCGTAATAATTTTTCCAACTTTAAGGAGAGGGTGGACTGTGGAGAGAGACAAAAAAAATAAAGGTCATTAAAAACAAATTTTATTTATTTATTTGTTGGAATTGATGTATCATGAAATCTCATTAAAATAAATAGCACATGGAGGGGCCATAAGAATTAGTACTCTTTTTTTATTTTATAGATTATTAATTTATTATCATATGTTTAATTAGCCATCATAATAATAAATTTTTATGATAAAAAGTTAATATGTTAGCTATAATAAAATTATTTTATAAATTTTTTATATAAAAATTTTCTATAATACTACATCAACTTTCAAAATTTTATTTTTGCTACAATTAATTTTATAGACATTTGCAATCATCTTAAACAAACTCTAGACTTCAGCTTCATTAATTTGGAATAATATTTTTCATTATTTTATTATATTTTGTTTAAAGATCTTATTTCTATTTGACTATAATTTGTATGTTTTTTTCAAAAAAATTATGATCAGAAATAATTTTTGGAAGTAGATTAATTTGCTAAAAAATAATAGTTGTGATAGTGCATTCTCTAATGAACCGAAAAGTTTTAATTTAATTTTTAACTTATATAATGGAATTATTTTAATGGGATCTAAAATTGTAATTTCAAAAATATTTTTTCAAAAAAAGAAAAATTATAAAAAGGCAAAAAATTGAGAAAAAACATCTTTCAAACATATTATTTTTTGCTAACTATTTTTATCACCTCAAAAATAATAAAAAAGCCGTTCCAACCTATGGATCTAGTTGGGGCAACTATAGCTTTTTGTAAAGTTCGTTGTTAAACTGTTGCAAGGAAAGTAATTTCTTAAAGCAGTTGTAAAAGTAATTTTCTATCACAAAATTTCTTACAATCAGTAGTCAAATAAAAATATGATTGAGATATGAAAGATAAAACAATAAGAAAATTATTCTAAACAAACTCTAAGGGGCTGTTTGGTAGCAGGTTTAGGCCAGATTTGAGGCAGATTTGAGCGAAATCAATCAAACGGCCTAAAATGAAAAAACCAAATCTCATGGCAAATGAAAACCGTCGTAGACATAAAATTACCCTTTTCGCGATAAATCCCAAATTTCCGAAATCATGTGATTCAGCGGATTTAACACTGTTGGGAAGAAGATTCTGCTCTGTTCAGGATTTATCGCTCTACTGTCAAACAATTACACATGATATAAAAAGATTTATCATGAATGTTACCAAACAGGTTTCAGGATTTAGCCCCCCCAAGATTTCATAAATCCGAATTTAGATGATTTATGATATCTTATTTAAATGAAATCCTTGTTGCTTCCAAATAGCCCCTAAGACTTCATTTGTGATTTTTTTATTACTTTAAAGTTTAAACAACTTTTTAGTTCTATATTTTTTTTACTAAAAAAATTAATTTAGAAAACAATAAAAAGCTGTCCCAAATGAAACCTAAGCTTAAATTTCCATGATTTAATTTCTCTAGTGATTTAGAGAAGTGAGAGATTAATTTAGAATTTGAATTTATTCTCTTAAAATAATGGCCCATACAATAAATAAATTTTTGATATATTCATTAAATTACTACATGATATAATATTTTAAAACGAGATTTTACTTTTAAATGAGATATATTATAAAGCTAATATAAAATTTCTTGTATCTATAAAAATATCAAGGCACAATAAAATTTTTACTCTTATTTTTATTTTAATTAAATTCTTAATAAATATTTTGATTTTTTTAGATATGATAATAGATAAAAAAATAATAATAAATTATATGACATAATTGCTATTTTTAAAATATTTCAATTATTTTAATACATTTCCATGAGTTTACCGGCCAAACTCTAAACCACCGCTTGGTAATTGGGAGGAAGGAAGACGGGGACATTGCAAAACCCTAATTCTCTCTCTCTTTCTCTCCTGATTCGGTTGCCAGTTCAATCACTCGACTTTGGTGTTTATCGGAGAAGATGGGGAAGAAGCAGCACAGCAAGGATCGAATGTTCATCACGAAGACGGAATGGGCAACGGAGTGGGGCGGTGCCAAATCCAAGGAGAATACCATACCTTTCAAGCGCCTTCCTTTCTACTGCTGCTCGTGCGTGATTCGATTATAAATCTGGAATTAAGATTGATTCTTTCTTTGTTTTCTGGCATGGTAGTTCTTATCCTTTTCCTCTATTTTGCATTTCTGGGCTTTAGGCTAACGTTCACACCTTTTAAGGAACCCGTCTGCACGAATGATGGAAGCGTGTTCGATTTAATGTAAGCGAATTCTTCCTAGGCCTAGTTTTTATTTGCCGTTGAATTTGATTTGAGTTTTATTGTATCGGGATATTCGATGCAGGAACATAGATCCGTATATTAGGAAGTTTGGGAAGCATCCTGTAAACGGAGGGTCTCTCAAGCAGGATGATCTGATTCCCCTTACATTCCACAAGAATTCGGATGGTATGTCATAACCTGATTTTAATTGTCACTTAGATTTTATTTCATTAACTTCTACACGAAACTTGAGTGAGCTTTACTTTTAATGTCCATGGAATTATTTGAACAAACTATAATTACATAGATTCTTGTTCAATTTAGTCTTACAATAAAGTGAGCGTTTGGTTTTACAATCAGCAGGTAGAAACATGAGAATGCTGTAGGTGTCCACTATGAGAACATGAAATAACAATTTTAGTCTTTTCCCCTTTATGAAATAGTTCTGGATTATAGTCCCGCTTCTTCTGAAACAATATGACTTGAACTTTTCGATCTCTAAAGATTGATATGTTGTATATCTTAGAAGTAACATTTTCTATGTGTTTCGTATATTAATCTCAGTTGACTGATCGCCATTTATACATTTAAGGCATAGTGCTTTGTCTTTGTCAAGATATGAAAATTTTGATAGTATGCTTGTTTTTATTTTTATTGCAGGAGAGTTTCATTGCCCTGTTCTTAACAAGGTCTTTACAGAATTCACACACATCGTTGCTGTAAAAACTACTGGCAATGTGTTCTCCTATGAGGTATGGTTCGTTAAGAAAACAAGAAAGTTGTGGGTGGGTAGTTAAAAATCTTGATATTTTATTATGCCACAGGCAATCAAAGAACTAAATATTAAAACCAAAAACTGGAAGGAGCTACTAACTGATGAGCCCTTTACAAAAGATGACTTGATAACGATTCAGGTAAGCTCTTATTAGACTTATTTGTTATTTTTAATCTGCAATTTACTCCATATCGACTCATTTTTAATACTTGTATCTCAACAGAATCCAAATGCACTTGATAGCAAGGTACTCATGGAATTTGATCATGTCAAAAAAAATTTGAAGCTTGATGATGATGGTGAGAATTCCCATTGTATGAAGAATACAATGGATTTAGCCTTGCTGATATATGCACATACGTTACATGGAGTGATATCACTCATTGCCACCTTACCTTATATTTTCCAGAGTTGCAGAGGATTAAAGATGATCCTGCCTATAACATAAATGTTTCTGGTGATATCAAGCAAATGCTTCTAGATCTTGGAACTGAGAAGGCAAAACAAGTTGCTTTACTCGGTGGTGGTGGAAGCAAAGCACAAAATGAAAGAGCAGCCGCTCTTGCTGCCATTCTGGCTGCAAGATCACGCATCAAAGAGGATAAAAATTCAAATTCTAACGGTGTCGATAAACCATCTCAATCTTTTAGCATTGTGGATGCAGCATCTGCTTCAGTTTATGGAAGAAGTGCAGCATCAGCAAAAGCAGCATCCAATGACAAAACAGCAGCTCGTATTGCATTGCACATGGCAGGAGAAAGGGCACCTGTAAATGCAAAGCTAGTATGTAAAGTTTCTCTCTATCCAAGTGGTGTTAACTTGATTTTTCATATCATTTGCTCGGTTTTTTTTTTTTTAAATAACTTTTATGCTTTTCAACTATCTTATTCAACTATAACATGTAAAATGCATGTAGGTGAAAAGTCGTTTCACTACAGGCGCTGCGTCAAGGTCTTTTACATCTACCTCATATGATCCTGTAACAAAAAATGAATTTGAATATGTCAAGGTTGAAAAAAATCCAAAGAAAAAGGGGTATGTTCAGGTGCACACAACACACGGTGATTTGAATTTGGAACTTCACTGTGACATCACTCCACGGGCATGCGAAAATTTCATAACTCTTTGCGAGCAGGGATACTACAATGGGATTCCTTTTCATCGAAGTATAAGGTATGGGAAGTTATTGTACGATGCTTGATTTACACTGTTTTACATAGAATTCTAACTAAAAACTATTTTAGAAACTTTATGATTCAAGGTGGAGACCCCACAGGTACTGGAAGAGGAGGACAGTCTATTTGGGGTAAGCCTTTCAAGGACGAGTTAAATTCTAAACTATTGCACTCAGGAAGGGGTGTTATTAGTATGGCTAACAGTGGGCCTCATTCTAATGGTTCCCAATTCTTCATTCTGTACAAGTCCGCAAACCATTTAAATTTTAAGCACACAGTGTTTGGCATGGTTGTTGGTGGCTTAACCACCCTTGCTGCTATGGAAAAGGTTCCCGTTGATGATGATGATCGACCGTTGGTGAGTGCATCGTTTTTATTCTTTTCTTCATTGTGTCCAATTGCAATTATGTTCCTGTTATAGTTGTTACTTGTACTGCATTAATTATGCATGCCAGTTTTAATTTTGGATTGGAGATTTTGTTAATATAACCTTAATCATCCTGGGTCTCAGTTTATGAAGCACATAGTTGTTTGATATGTGGTACATATTAAGGTAGAAGTATAGAGTGTCATTATTTATTCTGGTTATCTTGGTTAAGGAACAACTCCTCAAGATTGAAAACATGGTACATATTAAGGTAGAAGAAGTATAGCTTGTCATTTTTTATTCTGGTTATCTTGGTTAAGGAACACGCCAATATTGATTAGAAGGCCTCTATCCATCTAAACAGGGTGGGCAATATTTTCTATAATTCTGGGCGCCCCTGCATTGTTTTGAAGTATTTCCCCTGCAATAGGATTTTCTTGTTAATTTTTTCTTTAGCTTTTCCATATTGGAAGTAACATGTTTAATGATATTAGATTAGAAAAGATAAAAAAATTTACTTCTGTGTTTTTGATTTCATGGTGCTCCACCAATCTGATCCAATATATAGGTACTCGAAATGTAAAGCGCAAGTTTTTAATACATAAAAATGATGTTCGTTCTTTATTTCTTTATTCTAGTTCTATATTTCAGATTTCTGTTTATTGTTTCCTAATCTGTAACGAGATGGCATTTTTGATCAAGTAGTTCAGGAAGCATTTTCCACTTTTATATAATTTTTTCTTGCTCTCTTAGAGAATTTAAATTGTTTTGGCTATTTAGTGTGGTGGCCCTTCAATTGCTTAGAAGATGTTTGATGCAGAAGTGATACTGATTGAATGATTGATTTTTGAAATGTTTTTTAAAGATAAAACATAGAAGTTGTGGTGGTGCTGTTTGGCATATATGATTTGCGGGTTGCTGTAGCGGTTGTTATAACACCATGGCTTTCAATGGAATTTCCTCTTGGGGTGGTCGGCATGCTCGTTGGGTTGAGTTGGGAGAAATGAAATTGGCTATAGTTTTATTTTTTTTCCGGTGGAATTAAGTTAAAATTAAATTGGTGTCAATTTTATCTCATAATCTAGGTTATAAGGAATTTAGAAATAGGTGTTCTGAGGCATGTAATTGAGAATTTTTCGCTTGTTTAATTCATTTTAAACCTAATTAGCATCTATTATTACTTAGTTTAATTCATTTTAAAGTGAATTTTAGTGCAACTAAATAACCCTGATTACTCCTCCACTTGGATGATGAATCCAAGCCATCCAAATTCATTTTGGATGGTTGGCATCTAATAAATCAAAATCAAGTGGCTTTAAAATAGAACAGATCTAATCCCACCCATCTAAAATGGATGGATGTCTAGGATTTCAACTATTGCACCTATATGATTACCATGATAATTGCAGAGCATCCACACCATCGAAAATGGATGGATGGCTGGGATTTAAGCAATTGCGTCTCTATGATTACCATGATAATTGTAGAGGATCGACACCCAAAATAGACTGATTAACTTGTTCCTTGTTGACATCAAAGAATTACTTGTATTTTCTTTTGTAGTTCTTTGTCCTGATAAAATTTTCAACCAAACAAAAAACGCTCTTCAACAATTTATCATGCCCCTTGCCCTTATGCAGGAAGAGATAAAGATAATAAATATCAAGGTTTTTGTGAACCCATACACGGAGCCTGATGAGGATGAAGAGAAAGAAGAAAAGGAGGCGGCGGCGGCGGCTGTCGAAGATGATGATAACAAGGTAAAATATTTACATAAATTACTAGATATTAACCTTTTATTTGGTAATTCAATTTATGACATTCTAGCTCATCTGATTCCTGTTCGGCCTAAGGTGGGTTCCTGGTTTAGCAATCCAGCTACAGCAGCAGCTGGGAATGGAGCTGTGAGTGGTGGAGTGGGAAAGTATCTTAAATCAAGGAACAACGCATCTGAGGCTGCAGAAGGCAGCATTAAAGGTCCTGATCCCTCTATCAAAAAGAGAAAAGTAGAAGCATCGAGTGTAGAATACAAGAATTTTTCAAGCTGGTGAAAGCATGGTAATATATATCTATCAGAACTGGAAGAACTTATTATGGACTTCAATCTTGTTAGTACATTCTCTCTGAACAATAATGGCAAGAGAGCCCAACATTGGAATAGATTCTCATCTCTTCTATTGCATTTCGTTCACCACTTCATGACAATTTTTACAAGGCTAGCCACCCAATTTGAGGATACCTTATTATCTTTTGATGGGATGATAGTGGAGAGTATTAGTTTATGGGCTTTGTTGGCCACTTCATCTTGGTCTCCAATCTTGGTGGCTTCTCGCAGCAACAAGAACACTAATATTGTGAAATGCACTTGCAGTTGAATGCTGACAAGGTCCCTCAGGAAGGGTTGAGGTAGGATTCATTGAACACATGGTGCCCCTTGCAAATCTCATTACCATGATAATTGTAGAGGATCGACACCCAAAATAGACTGATTAACTTGTTCCTTGTTGACATCAAAGAATTGCTTGTATTTTCTTTTGTAGTTCTTTGTCCTGATAAATTTTTCAACCAGACAAAAAACGCTCTTCAACAATTTATCATGCCCCTTGCCCTTATGCAGGAAGAGATAAAGATAATAAATATCAAGGTTTTTGTGAACCCATACACGGAGCCTGATGAGGATGAAGAGAAAGAAGAAAAGGAGGCGGCGGCGGCGGCTGTCGAAGATGATGATAACAAGGTAAAATATTTACATAAATTACTAGATATTAACCTTTTATTTGGTAATTCAATTTATGACATTCTAGCTCATCTGATCCCTGTTCGGCATAAGGTGGGTTCCTGGTTTAGCAATCCAGCTACAGCAGCAGCTGGGAATGGAGCTGTGAATGGTGGAGTGGGAAAGTATCTTAAATCAAGGAACAATGCATCTGAGGCTGCAGAAGGCAGCAATAAAGGTCCTGATCCCTCTATCAAAAAGAGAAAAGTAGAAGCATCAAGTGTAGAATACAAGAATTTTTCAAGCTGGTGAAAGAATGGTAATATATATCTATCAGGACTGGAAGAACATCTTATTATGGACTTCAATCCTGTTAGTACATTCTCTCTGAACAATAATGGCAAGAAATCCCAGAATTAGACAAGACTAGCCACACAATTTGAGGATAGCTTCTTATATTTTAATGGGATGATAGTTTCATACAAGAAAGTTGAAAGCAGTGGAGAGTATTAGGCTTCGTTTGATTTTCGCCGATGTTTTTTTCATTCTTAAATGGAGGTATTATAACGGAGAAGCAGAATTTTTTTTCTCAAATCAGGGAAAATTCGGAGTTATTCCCAAAGGTGTTTTGAAAAAGTAGCGTAAACAAACATTAAAATACTAACTTTTCACCGGTTGAAATCGTAAACGGAAAAATTTACGGACAATCAAACTAGGCCTTAGTCTATGGGCTTTGTTGGCCACTTCATCTTGGTCTCCAATCTTGGTTGCTTCTCGCAGCAACAAGAACACTAATCTTGTGAAATGCACTTGCATTTGAATGCTGACAAGGTCCCCTCAGGAAGGGTTGAGGTAGGATTCATTGGACACATGGTGCCCCTTTAAAATCTCAACTGGCTCGGGTCATTTTTGTCATTTCTCTTAATAGATGTGTTGGTTATAGGGGGTGTGAATGAGTCTAGATGATTCGTTAGTCTGTTCGAACTCGACTCGATAATGAGCTCGTGAGCCGAATTTATCGAACTTCAAGCTTGTATACTAGATAATCCAATATGAACAAATGTATTTTAATATTTTTGAACTTTTATTTCCTGTCTTTGTAAAATGGAAATGCCTACAGCTCTTATGGATGTTTATTTTTTTATCCAATTGAATTTAGTTTTTCATCTTTTATTGTTAATAATACTAATAAAATTATTTTCAACATAACATTGGGTTCCTTCTTAGATGCCCTCGCCAACGATTAATTATTTTATGTGAATGCCAAATAACATTCGGAAATCAACCAATGTACTATGTCACCCTTGCGCTTGATATTACAGCACAGTATCGCTAATGTAATGTATTCTGATTGGCAGAATAATTCCTCCTCGCCAACAAACAGCAGATTTAAGGCTTTGCCTCAGTCCTATACTCAAAAACTTCTACTGGTCCTATGAAATTAATGCATATCATAGATAAAAACAGTTAATTTGTGCTTTTAAATAACTCATTAAGGCATCTCTTCCTCTTGTCTCTTGTTCTTATATCTATATATAATGAATTAAATCCTTGCCAAATTGATTTCTACTACATACAAATGGTACAAATTTTCATTGTTCAATGAAAGGCTACAAAAAACATTTATGTTTATGATTTTTAGCAGTTAAATGTTCAACAAATGCAACAAGTTAGATAGAAGAAACAGTTGATAAGGAGTATTTATTTCATAGTGTCCATTAACACAAATGCAGCAATTGCTCACAACAAGAAGTTAAAATACACACAACACAAACTCTTCAGAGCCCATAGATTGAGCTTTATAAACATGTAGAAGCCCCAGATCACCCATTCAGATGAAGATAACAATTAACACTGAACAAACAAAGAGAGGTCAGAAGCCCAGTTAGCAAAGAGCAGAAAATTCACCACCTGTACTCAAGAACTCGAACTTTAAACAGTAGTAGATCGGCAAAAAAAAAACAATTTTTGGACTTTAAATACTCAATTTTTGGACTTTGAGTGCTTGACGAGCCAGTCGATGACGACATCAATATTGGTCGCATTTTTGCACGAAATCATGAAGCAGCAAACTTCGCGGTCGGTGATGGACTTGAGCCCCCTACAGTGAAGCCAATGATAAGGTAGAAGAAGATGAAGAATTAAAGATTTCAAATGATGCTGTGGAGGGAAAAACAAAAAAGATGATTACATGTCCTCTGTCAATGATGCTTTAGAAAGTGCTTCAGGTTTGTCAATTTTGTTCCCAAGTATTAGCAATGGAATGCCAGTGAGAGAAGGCTTGCTTAATAGGTCATGGAGTTCACCTCTTGAGATTGATAAGTTCTCATGATCAGCTGCATCAACAACGTACCTGTAGAAATATGAAGAATTCAACGTTAAGTTTTCATAGTTTCAGCTCAAAATTTGAACAAGGATTCCAAGGAAATGTTATTCCCAACTACAATGTTAGAAATTATGATGCACCGACACTTCTTTTTAAAGAGATATACAATGTCTGACACGTATCTGATATGCTAGAGACGTATCCGACATGCCAATGACATGTCTGACACGCGTGTTTTAAGTATTTTTTAAAATATAATTTCTTACACTTAAGATTTTTATTTATTAAAAAATAAAAACTATTTTTTTTATTTCCTCTCCACAAGTCTAAATCAATCGTTTGTACTCAATATCCCATTTTCCAAACATTCACCTTTTCATTTCTCTCTAGCAAGATACGAATGGGTTTCACAACAACGCATGATTTCATCTCAATATCGATGTTGGACACCATCACAACATCAGTGTTTCAAAACCATCTTAACATTGAATTTTGATGCTATCTTACACTGACGCTCAGCACCAATAATTTCTACACTCACAATAACGCCCCCGCACCGTCTCGAGACCTCATATTTCTCCAACTGTCATCTCAATATCGACGGTTGATGTCTCGACATCAATGAATGATGCCCATTGCATAGCATCGATACCCAACTCTCTAAAACACTATCATCTCCCATCTCGATGTCTGATATGACATCCATATCTGACTCTCGACGTAGCGATATTAAACATTTCAAGCACAATTACTAGTTAAATGACATTATTTCTTAATTATTTTTAATATTTTACTTACTTAATTTTTATACACTATTTTTAAAATATAAAAAATAATACTATGTACAACCAATGTCCCTGTCTTATATTTTCAATAATTGACATGTCCGGTGTCCGTGTCTATGCATCATAGTTTAGAAATGAGTGAATGTGGCACCAAACAACTTTAAACTACAGCACCAATTTCTTTAAATTTCCAATTATGAAACTGATGATTGCAAAGATATTGTTTATGCACCATTTTCTTTATAATAAGCAACAAAAGCACCCCATCATAGCATTGTCTTCAATAGACAAAATTAGAAAAGCGCCTTAACAAAAAACATTGGGCGATAAAACTAATAAACATAAATATTAAGACACTATAACACAATGATCCAATGAAAACATGCAACCTTCCTCTTTGATCAAACGAGGAAAATTATTTTTCAGCCTATAGTGTAGTTATTTTGATGACAAAAGTAGCAGATGGGCATATAATTAGGTTAAATAATTTCCCAAACCTCATAAAAATATACAAGTCCATGCAAGTTGAATAATTATATCACCATAATCTCCAAATACCACAACTAAGAGCAACACACAGAGAATAAAAGTCAAAATTGTGATCAACAACATGAAATTGCTTTAAAGCTTGTTAAATTGCACTTCTAGTAATGCTTTCATGGTATGCTTTGAAGCAGTCAGTTTTTTGAAAAATTATTCTGTGCGGACACCGAACGGTGTCCAAAGGCCAACCAGAACGCTCAACATCACTTTTTTTTTTGTGTACCGATACTGTGTACCGGGTGACTTGGTGCGTTCTGATTGGCCTTTAGACTGTCCGGTGTCCGCACAAAATAATTTCTCCAGTTTTTAAAAGTCAGAAGAGCCTGATTCAGAAAGAAAATGCTTCGGGCTTTCTTTCTGTTTTTGAAGCATCAAAAGCTTACACCATTTCATCTAAAACCACGAGTTAGGTGCATCTTTCACCCATGATTGGATAAGAAAAATCCCAGTTTCCTGTTTTCTTCTTGTTTCTATGTACTTCAAGAAAACATTTGTAAATATTTGCAGGCAAAAATTTTCAAATTAGATGGGAAACCAACATATTATTTGATTATTATAAGAAATTTAAATACAATACTTGCTACGAAATTAAATTTGGAAATATTAACTTTGAATAAACAAGAAAAAAAACTTGACATATAGAATTGAAAAAGGCTTTATATATTTTTCCTTGAACTGAAAGGTTTATTAAAAATAAGTTAAAAGGTTCAAGATCAATAATGCAATTAACTAACAATGACTTAGTGCTTGATCCACTGGCCAGAAAAGATTTTTTATCTATCTCACGGATTGTAGGCATTTGTAGCTGCACTCGATGATCTAGGCTCAATTCCTTCAACCCCCTCACCAAAAAAAAAAAAAAAGCCCAAGTTAAGTGGCATTGTAATTGATAAATGAAATGGAGATCTAGGCTCAATTCCTTACAGAATAAACAAAAAAGTAGTACCGCCAACACATTCATTTTAGCAGAAATTAATATTGCGCCATATCTAAATAAAAATTTAAGTATATCTAGGTTATAGTTGTTTTTTAAATTCACGTAAATGCTCAAATTAGATTCACGAGTAAATCTAATAAAATGTGCACTGCATTTATAGCATGCTAGTCTATGGCTTCGTTTGAGATGACTTTCTTACTGCTTTTTAGAGCGGCTTTCTAGCAATATAACTTCTAGTTCAAGAAGCTTTTAAACTAAAAAATTGTTTTAGAAAGCAGTAAGAAAGCTGTCCCAAACGAAGCCAATATCAAGACACTACCTCCACTAACTAACTACAATTTGTAATGCATTTGGTTAATGAGAAAGAATACTCGAACTTGGGCATCTAAATATTTGAAATGGATGTATCATTAGGATCGAGAATGATTTGCCACAAAAAAAGACAAGAGAAAGAGAGCGAGAATACAATGCAGAGGCATCAATATTTTTTGAAACTGCTTCAACCGAGTCTATGATCATATAAAAGTTGTGAGTAATTGATCTATTAACAAAGAAACCACTCATCAACCTTTCTCCCATTTTCCAAGTATTCCGGTGCACAAATAAAGAAGAAGAAAAGCTAAAACCACATCAAAGATTATCTCACAATGATAACTTCCCATACTCACATGCACCTCGTAGCCACCAATTTCTAGAAGAAACCAAGGAATCGATAAGTTATGCCAGTGAGAAATGAGAGAATAAATTCCTGATTACTTGCTTGAAACCCTTGAATAACTTCATAGTTCTCATATATGTTTGTCACAAGTGATAAAGAAAAATACATGCAAATATAGCCAAGGGAGATCTCACATTTCTTGAGGATTCACATGAATTATGAAGAATAATGGCATTCAAAAGATGATATACATGCCAAATGAATTATATGCTCGATACTCTAGATTCAGATTTTGATACACACACCCTGAGGCATTGATTTTGTTATAATTTGGATAATCTAATCTCCATCAATCAAAATAAAAAACATTTAATGAATCAAGATCCAATATATTTTTCTGTGAATCCAATACAATGAGGAAAATGTAAAATATAATTGATCAATAATTAACAATTCTCCCACTTGACTCGCATATCATAACAAAACTTAAATCTCTTTTGTGACTCCCCTCCAATTCGAGATATCTAAGCTCCCAAGGTCATGATGAGCTTAGAATAACACAATCTCATAAGAACTAAATGTAGCATGTACTGAATCATAATGAGAGATCTTTATAATAAATAGGTTGCTCACATAAATGATACCATTAAACCTAAGCATACGCTCAGCACTGAGTTTTTTTGCCCCTGAAGTACTCATCTCCTCACCATGAATGTTGCCTTACGCAATAACAAACTGTGCCATGCAAATCCTATCCATCTAATCACCTAAAACATTCCCACCATCTCGTACTTGATTTTGTTCCAGAGCTAATCCTACATGCAAAAAGCCAATTCTTTTGTGTTCCCCCTAGATGTGATACTCCAACACAAACAAACACTACTCTTTAGCAATGATGTACTAACACTTCTCCTCAAAGAGGTATGCAGGCTCCGACATGTATCAGATATGACACGTGTCTGACACTCCTCCGACACGTATCGGCAACGCCAAAGACATGTCCACTTAAAGAATAATTAAAATTAAATTGGACACGTGTTGGACACGCGTGTTAAATATTTTCTAATTTTTTAAAATATGATTTCTTATACTTCAAATTTTTCTTTATTAAAAAAATAAAAACTAAATTTATTATTTTCTCTCTATAGCCCCAAATCAATCGCTCATACTCAATATTTCATTCCCCGAACATTCTCTTTTTAATTTCTCTTTAGCGGTTTATAACCAAGGTTTCACAACAACGCACACAATTTAATCTCTCTAATGTTGTCAAAACAACCATCTTAACATTGAAGAATGATGATACCTTGACAGTAACGCTTAGACCGCCAATTTTTACACCCACAAGCACGCCCCCCATGATTTAAACAAAAAAAAAGCCCCCTCACAGTCTTGATGCCCCATCTTTGTCCAATATCATCTCAGCATCAGCAACCGACGTCATTCGACATCCAGGATCGATGTTGTCTCAACATCAAAGCCTGATGCTCATTGCAAAACATCAATGCCCGACTCTAGACTACATTGTTGTCTGCCTTCTCGAGGTTTGACATGACATCCACCCCCAACACTCAACATCCTAATTTTAATCAATTTAAGCACAAATCCGTGTTAAATGACTTATTATTTCTCAATTATTCTGTTTATTCAATTTTTATATACTATCTTTAAGATATAAAAATTATAATATCATGTTAAAACCATGTCCGTGTCTTATATTTTCAATAATTAATGTGTCCCATGTCTATGTCGTGTCATATCCGTGTCTTCGTGTTCGTTTTTGTGCATCATAGCTATTTAATCATTTCCACGAAGACTTTTACTACGCATAAGTGACACCAAACAAATATTCATTGTCCAAAGTGTGAAATCATCGAAACTCAAACTTATGACCATCAATCTTATAATCACACTAAAATACTAACTTGTCAGAATGAGAGCTCCAAGGGACTTGGATGCATTTTCATAAACAACAATGATACACCATATAGTAGAACATAATAGATATTCCTTGAAAACTTGCATCCTACTTCTACAAAATACAATGCAAGAAACATTTGTTCAATTAAATATTTGTTGGGAAAAAGAAATTTTACAGCATAGCTCCATTATGATCCAGTATGCTTATTATCCATCCACAAGCAAAGCATACATGATATTGTGCAAGTGTTCAGAAATTAGATGCTCAAACAGTAAGAATGGTAAGGTAAAACAACAAAGGGTGAAAAACATACACAATAGCAGAGACTGCGCGACAATATCGTTCCCACATGCTGCGAAACCTTGGCTGACCACCAAGATCCCACAACTTTATGGTGACATTTCCCTTAGTAACCTTCCTCATATTGAACCCTACCTAAAATATCAAACAAAAGAAAATTTACCTTATAAACAGGAAGAAGAAATTTCCACCATGGCATTCAGAAACAAAATTAACTCACAGTAGGAATCATGTCTTCACTGTATCCTCCAGTCTGCACAGGAAAAATGAATAAGTGCAATTTAAACATTATCAACGATTAAGTGTAGTGTCAATAAAAACCTTGAAAATCAATAGATACGGACCGCAATAACATTAACGAGTGAAGTTTTCCCAGCATTCTGGAGCCCGATTAAGGACAGTTCCATTTCTTGCTTGAAGAAGAGGCTAAATGCAGAAAAAATAACAAAATACCCAACATAAGTGCATATAAAAACAATTAGAGAAAAGTTATCAACTTGAACAAAAAAAATCTAGAAAGCCTACATAAGCATTTTTTACAAACTTCAAAACAAAAAATATGTTAAAAGAACAGAGATTTCTTAACAGTATAGAACAGATGGAGAAGAAAAAAAAAACTTTGTGCTTTCGGGCATTCAAAAATGAAATTTTTTCCCCAACAATAATATTACACTTCTTTCTTCTCATTATTGCAGTCCGCAAGCTCTTGGTTGAATCAATACCAGTCAACCCGTTCAAAAACGGATAAAAAAGAACACTAACAATAAAACTCACACCCATCAACCGCGATCCAATCAACACAACATAAAAAACCAAAATTTCAAACAAACCCTTAAAACCTCCTGCTTTTTGTACCAAGCCACCCTTTAATCGCCCACAACAAAGCATCAAAATCAATCAACAATATTGGTTCAAGAACCAATGCTTAAACTAGAAAAAAAAACCTCCCAAATGCAATAAGAAATGACTAAATGGATTAACTTCCCTACCTCCGCAGCCAATTGAGGAAAGCTTCCCACAACCCCATGGCGGAAGCAAATATCAGATGCGATGAAAGCAATTAGGTTTAGAAATTGAAGAGGCAAAGAAACGAGAGATCTCTTAGGAGACTGGGAAGAGATTAGGGTTTCGCCGTCCTTTTTCTTCCCTTAAGCGATGATCGGAACGGAGCCCTCGGAGCCCTCTCTCTCCACCTCCGTTTTGACCATTGTCTCCTCCGAGTCTCTTCCCCGCCCGCACCTCCTCCGCTAGAATAAATATGGAAAAGAATTTAGGGATTTTTACATACATGCCACTTTATTATATCTAAATTACATATTTAACACCCAAAAGTTAAATATTACATTACTGCCACCCAAATACTAATTTTTCAACAGAAATACCACTCCGTGTCTTCACTCTGTCTTTTCCTTCCCCATTCCGATCATCTTCCAGCCCTTCCCCATCGACACCGCGCCTGACATCACCATCCTCAATGAAGACAAGTCATAGATGTCCACCGCCTCACTCTTCGGCATCTCCATCACTATGGGAGGCACAAATGGTGCCACTGTAACCCTGTACATCGGGAAAAAGAGCAATTACCTTGCGAATAAGATCGTGGGAGCTGAACAAACACTTGGCCCTCCAGAGAAGATCGTTGAGGTCGGCGCCATTTGCCTCGAGCTCCGTCGCCAGCCCGCCGTCCACGACCGCACAGCAACCGGCCTGCTGGAGAAAATCCTTCATCGCTGCAGATGGATCCCTCAACCCAAAACCCATAAGACACAGAGCAAGCGAGACAGGCAATGGCGACGTTTCGGCTTTTGCTGGCGGGGTTCTTCGGTTCCTTCTGGTGATAGGGGACGCCGTGATAGAGCACGCAGAAGGGCGAAATTGCAGGACACGCTTACAGGCTGCTTACGTTGATGGTGTTCATGATAATACGTTATGTCGTCAGTTTCCAGAAGCGAAAATATTGAAAGCCAGAAGCGATTGGGCACGAAGGCGATCGGCGAGGATATTGAAAGCCAGAAGCGATCATCGGCGAAGAGGCGGACAATGGTCGGAATGTGGAAGGAAGAGACAGAGTGAACACGGAGTGGTATTTCTGTTGGAAAATTTGTATTTGGGTGGCAGTAATGTAATATTTAATTTTTGAGTGTTAAATATGTAATATAGATATAATAAAGTGGCATATATGTAAAAATCCCAAGAATTTATTAGAGAAAAAAAGGAAGATTTGTTGGAATATATATATATATATATAACATGCACTTTTCTTTCTTATGAGTACAAAACAGATTTTTATATCTAGTCATTGTGTCTCGTGCTGTTGGCGTGTGACACAAAGTAATCTATCAACGTCAATTTTATTTGTTGTAATTTTGTAATGTTTTGTGGATGTAGTTATAATTGTGCTAGGTGGCTTAGTGCGTGCTAAATGGAGATGATGTTTAAGCTAGTAAAGCTCTAACCTAATTTTGTTTATAGAATTAATTTTTCTTAAAAGAATGTTTCTTAAATATTAAACCTAAGAGTACATAATAATTGTTCATTAATAATTGGTCATTAAGGATGTGCATTGAAATTGAGTTAATGGGGTTTATTCAACTCATATTTTTAACTAAATCAATAATTTAAAACAAAGTGTATTGACTTATATATTACTAATAAGGGTTTTATGAGTTTGTTACAATAATACAAGGGTTTAAAAATCGGATCGGACAGGCGAGTCAACCGGTTGAACCGGGAACCGATTAGGCGGACGGTCCGGTCCGGTGCTACCATTAGAACCGGCTTACAGTCTAACCAACCAAAAATCGGTTCAATTACCAGTTGAACCGCTGGACCATACTCGTTTTAATGAACCGGCCAGTTTCAAAATAACGTGATTTGAGTCGTTGATCGCATATCAAATTGCTGGAGAAATTGGTTTCGAGCATAAGCTCTGAGCCGAAAGCCTGAAACGGTGAAACCTCATTTTTCCCTCTGCTCTCTTTCAGTTGTTATCGCAAGCCCTAGGAACTCTGAAGTCAAACAAATAGCAAACGGGTGCAGTGGAGAGGATGGACCGTGAGACGAATGACGCCTTCTTTCTTGTGCACGTCGTCATTTGGTGAGTCCTCTTGATTTCTTATTTCTAACTCTATTCTCTAATTCTCTCATTTTCGTCAGACAATTGTAGCCTTTGTTTGGGATTTCGAACTTGTTGCTGCATCTGAAGTATGTGTTTGGGATTTAACGGTTATTAAAATTCGGTTCATGCATTTTGTTCCAATATGACAAGGGTATTTAACGGTTGTTATTAATCTTCCAAGCTAATATATTTACCAATCAATTTAACACTTTACCGAAGGTGGTGTTTTAAAAAAGCTTTTATGTTTCCCATTTTTTCTTCTTTGTGGTATTGGTGCAGCATATTAAGGAACAAATTTTGAAGAAATATACAAACCTTCGAAGATGAAGAGGCGGTAAGATTGACCGATATGGAGGCTATTGTCGCCGCCATTTCTGCACCGCCGCCGGAGCAAGTGACGGCGGCGACGTAGTAGTCGGGATTGGTGGACATAACGTGGCATCAGGGGCGGAGCCAGGTTATTTTTCATGTGAGGGCACAAATTATTAAATTTAAAAAACACTTAATCTTTTTAATCAGCATCGACTGTTTTAATATATCTTCTCACAAATATAAACACTTTGGCACTGTAATATTCTAACGAAGAATAAACTGATTTAAAAACTTTGAAATCTTCTCATAAAAACTGTTTGGAAACAAATATTCAGATATTATTAAAGTCAGAAATTTCTTAATCTAAATCCTTTTAAAAACTTTCCATTCTTCTGATAAAAGTTATTTGCAATCAAATATTCATATATTATTATAAAATCAAAATTAGATTTACTGACCTGTTCACAAATCTACTTATTAGCCTTAAAATTTTGCCAACATAAGAGATATCACTATTTAAAAATTATACCTGTCAATCGTTACAGCTCTCTCCAAATTCTTCGCTTCTAGAAATGTTCCTGAAAAAATAATGCAAAAATTATAACATTAACAATTTTTGCTTTAAAAATTTGCGAATACCACTACAGATAAATGACATGAAAACTGAACAGTACAGATTTAATTTACACTAATGAAAGTTTGTAAGGAATTTGTTTGATTTTATTTGGAGATTAATTGCACTCAAGCACTTTAAAGCAACAACTAAAACAGATTTTAGTTGAGAACTTAGTTGAGAACAATACCTTCTGAAATCTCAGCAAAATCAGAAATCTGCAGACTGAAGTCTCTTTTCTTGCCTTTTGATGCACAGACCTCATAAACACCATATGGCATAGCCTGATCGTCCAACCCACTTTCCACAGCATAGTGCCCTGCAGCCCGGCTATGCCGCCGCCGGCGAAGATGAGGGAGGATGAAGATGCATCTTCGGGTCTGACAAATTGTTCCTCTCAGTAATATTGATGCAACTATACCTTGTTTGTTGGTTTCGTTGATTTTTTTTTTTTTTTGTCATATTCAATAGAAGGGTTGTAAATTAATACATCTGCTTCCGCTTTGGCTTCCACTTACTGAAGATATATGTTTCATCTATCGATTTTACTTTCATTTATTGAAAAAAAATTTACAAAGGATCACAAAATCAAAGTAAATGGCTAACTGGATCTAAGCCTAGCAAAATAGTATAGGAAAATATATGATTTTACTTTGTACCTATCATGGTCTGAGGCTTGAAGACTCTCTGATCTACAAGCTTAAGAGATTCTGGAAGCTAGGTTTGCACGTAAAATTGAGAAGGAGCTCTAGTGAAGAGTGAGGTCAACAATGAGCTCGGCTTCACAAGCGAGACTGAAACGAAACAGGGCTGGTTCGCGTGTGAAGGGGAAATCTACATAAGACAGAGAATATGAAGTGCCATTTTGGAATGGGGAAGTTATATATAAGCAACGAAATGCTTAGAAAAATAAAAATGCGGAAGGTATATCAAGCCATTGCAGATTTAAGCTATTCAACTCTCTGATTTCTTTTCATTCCTAGCAACCAAACTCAACATAAAGATACCCGAATCAGCAAAGAATGGAGAATCCTCTACTCGAAACAATCAATATAAAAATCTAAAAAAAAATCAGAATCCCAAAAACCAAACAAGCAATAATTCCCACATCAACATCCTATTCATGACACAAAACAAAAACATACTTACCCGTAACGGAACAGTCGCACTTGCCATTTTCCTCAATAAACTCCCCACTCCGTCCGCAAAACCTATTAGCTGCCATCTTAGCAGCGGCTTCATTTCAGCAAACTGAAAGAAAGTTGAAGATCTGCTCAACTATTTTTAATTTGGAAGGAAATAAGCAGAGAATTATTGAAGGAGGTGCATCAGTCGATGAAGTAATTAGAGTATGTACAATATGCAATGTAGTTTGCAACAGTGCTATAGTATTTGCCTTACAAGAAGAAGGCTGAAATTCGACGACTTATTGAGAGTGAAGGAACCCTGCACACTTACATTTCATGCAACTTTTTTATGACCTATTTGCTTCCATCACTTGTGCAACCCGAGAGATAAAGTAAAAAATCCATGATAATGGAAATTCTGAAGCTGTCTTTGTTAAGGAGTCTGATGTTGCTGCTTTCACAATTTCTAGCATTGATGATCCAAGGACGGTGAATAAGGTATTATACCTGAGATCACCTAGTAATGTTGTCTCAATGAATGACCTTGTGAACCTTTGGGAGATGAAAATATCAAAGAACCTTCAAAAGGATTATCTTCCGCAGGAGCTTCAGGAGCTTGCAATGGTTAAATCTTCTGTCCGTAAGGTGCTACTAGAATAACAAAATGGGGAAATTGTGCAAGCAATAATGAGAAAATGCATATGGGAAAAAGTTCTTGATGATGAAAGTGGGGAAAAAGTCCTTTTGGCTTTGAATTAAAGATGCTGGTCTTCTTATAAATTAAAGATGCTGGTCTTCTTATGAATTAAAGATGCTGGCCTATTTACATCAAAAGGTTTAAACAGTGAGAAAATGCATATGGGCCCAAAAAGGAAAAGTCCATCGGGAGAAGTATAAAAGATGTCAAAAATGTTGCTTTACATTAATATGGGTTTGAGTTTGAGATGGAGAAGATCATTATTGGGACAATATACATTGCAAATCCCAGAACTATGATGCAGAATCATTATTACTATACCAGCTTTTGGACTATGA